AGAGAATTTGCTCTTTGGTCCGCTCTGATTCTGGTTAAAACGTCATATTCGGTGCCAGAAAGGGATTAGCCGTTAGTTTCATGAGCCTGAAATCAAAGAATGTCGCAAACCATTTACTCCTAAATTGTTCCAGTCGACCATGGGTGCGTTGAAGTCTCCGGTTATCACTGTCTCTTGGTTCTGGGCCACCTCTTTAATTAACCCAAGCATTTCCTCATCAACCTCAGGAATTTGATTGGGCGGCCTGTATACGGTCAGGAAATGCAAACAAGGTACACCAAGCACCCTTAGTTTTTACCACATTGCTTCAGAGTCGTGGGATCAATCAGTTTTGTGTTCTAACGCGATGATTCCTCCCGTGACCTAGATCGCTGTTCCCCACCCCTCTTTTTTATGCAGTCTGTCTCGACGAAGAAGTTGATATTACTCGAGTATAATTTCGAAGTCTAAGACTTCAGCCTATAGCCAAGTCCCTGTGATAGAAATGACATCCGGCGGAGTATTTTGTATGCACACTTTTAGCTCATCTAGCTTCTGAAACAAACTCTGAGCACTTGCATAAAGAAAGCAGAGTTTAGTCCGGGCAGATTCCCAAACGGTTTTAAGGTGGATGTTGCTAGATATTTCGTGTGCGGGTTTTGGTCCATCGTTCCCTTTGGAGTCTACTGCTGTTTCGTCGAACTGGGCGTCAGTGTGTTGACCGTCATTTTCTCTGGCCGGTTTGGTAAATCGGAGCGTTCTTTCCCTATAATCTGGCTGTTGACTATACTCGCTGTTATTGACGGTCTCCAGAGGCATGAGTTTCGAACATTTACGACTTTCCCATTCCATATTTTTAAGTTTTCTCCCTGGAATTGTATCTTCCGAGGATTTCGACCTTAAGTTCCCTCTGTTTCTCCGGTTTGGCCGGTGGGAAATTCCGCTGACAAAAGTTGTTTGGTGGGCATTTTGGGGTGCCGGTTTCCTCTTCAGTATTAGTAGAGCTTGTTCCTCATTTTCGAGAATAATTTTTAATTGTCTGTGATGGCTGGACTCGCCCTTCGAATTCCTATGTGGTCCTATTCTGAAAGCTTATAAGACGGCGATGTTCTTGTTCTCTTGTAACACGGATTTGATTTATTGCTGGAATAATTCTATATCGTGGGTTATTCTGCTCTTTGTGATGTCTGAAGTAGACTCAGGCATACCCTTCACGACGATGCGTTTGCTGCGATCAAGTTTAGGGCCCCGTCGTTCATTTTTATACGCGCAGTCTGCATCACACCAATTTCTATTTTCATCATTGCCCAATTCAGAGACAGTTGTCATAGTATAGCTACCGCAGGATTCCTCGTCTATCGAGGCCTCTTGGTCATGTGGTACCTATTTTGGCAGTGAGACATTTGCTTGTATTTCGTGTGGACTCTGCTCTCTCATGCTGACATTCTAACTTATCTGGTTTTTGCGGAATCCTCCGAGACGTCTCCTCGTTTTTTGAGATCTCTTTCGGTCATTTTTCTCTCGAACATGAGACACGTTCTCGGTTGTGCTTAGGTCTACAGACGGGCTGTCTTCTTTTTCAGAGTGTTATACAGTTATTGAAGTTGTATTGCCATTTTTCCGGCTATTGTATGAATTTCAAATATCGCCATGTCTCTCCTTTCGAGTGAATGGGAAGGCAGTTTCATCCTTTTCTCCATCTCAATTCTTAGATTTCTTATATCCTTCACCATCTCCAAGATTTTCCGAAAAAGTTCAAAACACGGCGCACATGTTTTGTCTTCGTATTGGACATCCAATAATTTTATCAAACTCTTTGCGCATTTGGCGGATGGGGATTTGACGGTAGGAGACTTATCGCAGTAGCCATTTATACAGCGTCTTACGGCCATTCATCGTTTTTCAAGCCGTCTGCTGCGCGTCAGTGACACAGTAGTAGCGACATTTTCAGCGTCACTTTTGATTGTAGTGGTGGTATTAAACAGGACGTCCGATCAACCCTGATATATTAACATATTTTCCTCCAACCTCGGTCGGGCTTTTACTCTGTTGACCATTGTTTGCTTGTAAGCAAACATAGCCCTAGGCCTCAACAAATACTGCAGTTGGTCTGTAAGAGCTTCCCTGTCCAAGGCAGCTATCCTGGACGTGGAAGGCATGCCAATTTTCTGGATGCATATTAGAGACTTACGAGGTCCTCCATAAGCATTCTTCCCACGAGTAGCTCTCCTTACAATGTCAGTAGCCCTTTTCTCCTTACTTAAACGACACAAAATGTTCATAGAAGAGATTTTATCAAGCTATCATTGTTTCGATTTTTTTCAACGTCTCTCCTTCTATAATCAGAGCCAACTGATAGATCTATAGAAAACATCAATATCTCACCCACATTAATTTAAATAGATATTGGTCATTTTACCGGCTGTTAAAACCGTGTTGAGAAGAGCTTTCCTGGATCACTTGTAAAAGATATCTCGAAGCCGGTCTTGCTGGAAATATTTGTATTTTGTTTTTCCCTCGAGTGATTTCGTGACGGTATTTAGGCGACACATCACATTTCAGATCTTCAAGTCACGTTTCTGACCTAATTTTAACGACTTTATTGATTAACATAAAATGACGACTAGCCACATTTCGCAGGAGAACAATTTTCTATTGAATTTCGAACCTCACCCGAGCTATTAAAGGTTCAGCTCTTTTCAGAATTTTTCTTTACCGAATTCGCTATCAAAAACCAGTAATCTATGTTTACTTCATCCCTTCGCCTCTCTTATTTCCGTCAAGCAATCGACGAGATCAGGTTTTTTCCACTTTAATAAGTCATTTAAGATGATAACCAATGGACTGGGAGTTGTGTAATTATTTACCGTACTGAAAACACTGGGAATTGTAAAAACTCGTATCCATACTCAATCCCATCAGTTCTAGCCTATTTAGGGGCTTGCAAACGCCCCAAAACGGGTAGCCCATCTCAAGATCCTGTCCCTTTCAGCTCATTTCAGTTTACTGAGGGCAGATGGGTGGGAAATTTTCGGTGGAGGGTATCACGCACTTTGCCTAGAGCCAAGCATGGTCAATCTAAGTCATTTGTTGACTTTCGTCCAATTAACACCCTCCATGCAATTTCGAAGAGCTTACAGATATTGATAGAAGATAAGATGATATGTCACTCAACAGAGAATAACCTACTAAGTGCTGCTAGGTATGGACTCCTCAAAGCTCGGTATTGTGACACCTGTCAGCTATCTTTCTTTGATCGCGTTTTACAATTTAGGAACAAGGGTTTTGCACTTTGCACAGTGTATTTCGATTTCACTAGGGCTTTTAATCGTGTTGACCATGCTCTCCTTCTCTTGAAACTATCTTCTTTCGGAATAGGTGGCAAACTTTTGAATTTTTATCCTCACACCTGGGCGCTCGTACACAAAGAGTTAAGATTTCCAATGTTATCTCTAACCCCACGTGTATGAGGAGTGGAGTCATTCAGCGTAGTGTATTCGGCCAGCTACCATCTTGCCTCTTTGTTAACGAAGTACTAGATTTATTTCAGAATGGTAAGCCTTTCATGTATGCCACCGAGCTGAAAGTTACATGTCGATACAAGCCAGCCGATCGTGAGATGGTGCACGAGTTCCTAAAGAGCGACCTTCAGGCCTATGCCCAGTGGTGCTGTATGTGGCATCTATCTCTTTCTCAGCATAACTGCTACTCATGATGGTTGGCGAAAACCAACAGCCTCAACTAAGTGCTGACGGCCACGATATAAATGCGCCAGGAGTTATTAGGAATATAAGTATATTATACCATGAGAGCAACAAACAAATCTCTCACAATCTAAGCACTGCCAACACGTTGCTTTACCGAGTAAAAACACACTGTTCCGATGAAGAGAGCGACAGAAGAAAACTAAATTATCTCTTTAAATTATTTTCATGGAATGGCTTTTCAAGGAATTTTGCATTTGGGAGAATGAAAAGAACAGAAGTCATAAGGGAAGGAGCAGGATGGTTCCAAGTAGGTGTCTAAAGCATATACTTGACGAATCCTCCTTGAAATTAAAGCTGTATCGGAATTCGTTGAAAGACACCTGAGAAAACAGCAAGTACAATTGGCACATGGACGGGTGGCTACATTACGAAGTCAGCCTGTAAGCCCTACTATGCCTGTTGTGAATTTTCGTTGCTATTCCTCTTATAAATGCCTCGATTGCTTCTGACCCCACAGTCATTTTCGGGAACTTTTTCCTCATATATGAATTTTAGTTTATTTCCAGAACATTATACACAGATTTTTCTATTGCAAAACAGAGCCAGAGTGAGTGCTGATGTTTCTTTCAGACATACTTGTCCAGCTGCCCTGACGCTTCCAAATGTGTACTGAGCCGCATAAAACTTAAAATAAGTTTTTACTCCTGCGAATTCTGAAAAGCAAGAAAAAATCTGCCAGGAATACCTGACTTACGGAGAAATCTGATGCTTTTGGGTCTGACTGTGTGAACATTATCGTAGTTAATATTGGGTAGTTTCCTGGTTTAAATACAAGATCACTCCAATCGCTGTCCTTTTTTTTGCTCCCGTTGTGTTTTGTAACAGACTGTTATGCTGCTCGCCCTTTGCGAACTTGCCAGTATAAGCGTTTATTTATGATTTTTGGCCTCACTGCAAACCACCTAGTTTAGACCTCGAAGAGTTCTAGCGCTTAAGCTGATTACCTTCGCATAATATTTCAGATAAGACACTGTGCAATACTGCGGTCTTTCGACCTTGAATTGGAGTTTTGGGAACCAGACTTTTGGGACTTCGTCAGCTATGAACACCAGCCTAACAAAATATTCAAACTACTTAAACACTCGCGAAGGCCATGTCACCTTTTTAAAACATGTAATGCGACGAGAAGTTATTGATGAATTACTGATGAAATGAAAATACAATCGGAAGCCTCCTTTATAAATGAAGAAAGCGGTTTGTTTCATAGTGCTCTTGTCTTTCATCGTTTTTTTACACGGTGAAAGACAATCAGGTATGTCGTCGCAAAGCAAGGAAGTCTGCAAAGATGTTTGGATGGAGGTGATTGCCATGGGCGTTTATCTGGGTGATAACCTTTCAAATACTTTCCCTTGTAAGTCCTCGTGAATACTATGAATTAATTTGGCTAATTGAAACATGATGTTGATGTTCAACTGTCAGTTCTTCGTTGACAACTATTCTTAAAGTTGAATTTGAGAATAAATGAATATTCGTTTCCCTTATATATTTCTGTAGGGAATGGAAGTATTTTTTTTCAAAAATCAGATATTTGATTAGGGTGAGTCAAATTTATATAAATGCACGTTCTTTGAGTGTATTTTTAGGATGGTGCATTTAGTAGTAAACATCTTGATGTGTGCTACGTAGCTATAAATTTATAGTTTCCTTGTAAAGCCCCTTAAGGCACTCTCAACTCCTTGCATATACGCCCCGCTCCGCCCTCTCTCGAGGCCTCTCTCGGCCCACAAGTTGTGGCCAGGTGTTGGCAGAGCACTTAATGTAGGCATCGTGTGCTGGCAGGCTAGTGCTGGATAATGTACTTTCCTTAAATTTTCCGTCATGATAATTTCCCTTGTCACGAGTATCTTTTTGTCAACGATAGATAACAACGGACAAATATCAAGTTGCCCATCTGACAGCCCTATACCCGGTTTTAACTGCTGTGATCAACTGCTTGAATCCGCTCTTCAGAAAAAATCCATTGAAGAAGTAAATTATAGTGTCCGAGCGTACTTGAAAATCTGGCCAAATGAATTACAAAAGCTAATAGAACTGGTTACAAGTAAGTTGGTACTTTCAGTATTGTAGCATCTTGATTATTGAAATGTACTGGCATTTACAAAGACAATCCAAGTAAATAAATAATTGCCTATTTCTAAACGGTATGTAAGTATGAGTACATATTTTCAACATCATTTTTGAGTATTATGACAGTTAAGATAAAGCAAAATATAACATGGCATTTCTTTTTGAAGTTACGCTGAAATCCATAGGCTGTTTTGACGAAGAAATATGGAAGATCTAAAAAAGAACACATCGTGAGCTGTTAAGGTTTTTAACTATTAACCTTATTTTACATAATATTATGCTGTCAACTGCCTGCTAACCTCCCAGCCATTCCACCAGTTACTATTTTTTCATCGATTGATATCCTGGGCATTTGACTTCGAAGGTTATTTATCAGAAAGTCAGCATACAACGAGGAGAACTATCGCATTATTTTTATGATCAGTATTGGTTATGCAATTTGCCTCTTTTCTAATCGAAACATTGACAAACATTAAAATTGCTTTATGAAATAAGGTTCTTATTAAATGCGCAGCCGTTTCTATGAGTGAGAGATGAAAGTCCTTATTGTCGTGAACTTCACGGTCAAATGAAATTATCGGTTACCCAGACTCTTAGTTATCTAATTTAAAGGTGAGATGTATCAAAATTAGCCTTTTATTGCTTAAGTATAACAAAGATACAGAAATCGATGAGAAAAATTTCGCAGCATGAATATACACATCCCTCTTACAGAAAAAGCAAACTGGATCGGATCTGAATCAGAGCCAAGTCGAGCTGTCAGGTACGTCCGATCGGACGCAAATCATTATGAATATTCGAAACCCCTTTTTTCATGCGAACGGCAGTCTGCTTATACTCGTTATAAGTAAGTGTTGCCCCGGTATTGGCGTCTGCACATGGTGGCAAGTCCAGAAATTTAATTTAAAACACACACTTAAATAAAATTCAAAATAAGATGTCATTGTTAAGTGGACGGTCTCGGTTCATTGTCGCAATTTGGAGGATACGCAAGTGAGGAGACCAGTCATTAACCGAAGGAATTCTTTCGCATGCCACTGCTATTGGGACTATAGGCCTAAAACTTCGTAGTGACTGGGAGACTCGTGTTAAATTAACATTTAGTCAGAAAATTTTGAGATCATCAAAATACACACTGCAGGAATTCTAACTCCACTAGAAACTGCAGCAACCGCACTTCGAACAAGGTAAATCCTACTATTTGCCAGAAATTAAAGTTGCATAAGAAGTATATTCAGCGATTTGGCTGGTGACTTCTGCATTTTACGCCTAGATAGTAAATACTAAAAGATTTTGTGCTACCTTAACATTTTGCGACTTTGGGACTCAGTTTTAAAGCTTTTGACTTACATGTCTGATCCGAACTACGGGTATTGCACTTTTTTAGCCTCTTTACAACACCTTTTGATTACTGACTGACTGTGGACTGTGAAAATTCTTGTGTCAATGAAGTTGATAGCATCATTCAGCTTCTGAATTAGAAAGGCAGTGAATAAACACCGTGACTCGCCCATGTGGTTAAAGAATTATCATGCAATGCCGGGAATCCTGGGTAAATTGCTGAATTGCATGCTAAGCAGTGGATTGGAGCAATATTGTTAACTTTACAAGCCACATTCGTAAATGCAGATATATGACGTTTCATGAACGGCCATTAAACGGTATTAAAAAATCTCACAATTACAAAATTTTTTAAAACCGAATTAAATTTTTTTTATGTATGAAATTGAAAGAAAACGTGATTTTCTACCGAATACGTACAAGAATGAATATTTTAATGCATGTTTGCCATGAAATTGAATTTTCAAGGGCATCGAAAATCAATGAGAAAATTGCATGCTACTTAAGTAGTCATTTTTTGCAGAATATTGATCTTGCAAAGAAGCCGAAAATAAGTTCTTTCGAGAGCCGACACCCTGAGGTAACTGGATCATTATAGATTTATGCTGTATCATAATTAGTTTTACAACACTACTTAATTTATCTTTTCGAAACGAGAACGCATTTCGAAATGTTGGTTGACATTTCATGAGTTAGCACATCTACTCTATGTGACATGTTACAGGTTTGCAAAGTTTGGACCGCTACGCTGCACGCCTTTACGATTGCGCTGATTTACTTTTAATGAGGAGCATACGCTGGAACAAGAAGATTTTTCCACCATGAAAGAACTTTCCATGACTTGAAGATCTGCAAAAATTTCGAAACATCAGAGAACATACCTTAATCTCGCGGAGTAAGAGACAAGAAGCCTTCACAAGCATTTTAAATGATTGGGAAATTTGATGTTCTAAAACATCTGAAGGCCCGCGCATATGAATGGCTCCCACCCTTTGTCCAGTAAAAAGCATTTTCTTGCGTCCTAACAGCATGGTGGATCTCGTGAAGGAAAACAGCGTTCACACTGCAGGCACTCATAATTCGCACAAGTAATTTGAGCAAGCTTGTGTATCGTGTAATACGTTGAATGGTGGTAAAAGGGATTTTACGGATGGGAGAGAACGGAGGGCAAGAAGACACAGAAAATAGATAAATTTCTGCCGAAAGTCTTATCCTACACTGCCATTTGACAAATAAAGGGAGTGCAATAGTCAAAAAATAAACGAAGAGTAATTTAAAAAATAACGGACTTTGAATAAAGCACCGCTGGTACGTTCAAACAGTGGGAACGGCAAATAATAAGTGAAATTTACAGTCACACTGAATTTTAAGATATATTTTTGTAGTTGGCATCTACGTGTTAGTCCCAAACCCTATCGTTACCCCATATTTTAGTGCTATCTCATTCTCCGGAAGTTTAATTTCTCCGTCAGGCGATTTTGGTCTAGAGGAAGAATGTTTAGCGGTAGTCCAAAGCAAACGCACAATGACTTTACAAGCAGTTGGTATTTACGTCCAGTGCCCCAAGTTGCTAAGGGTTTGGTTAATAAGACTGTTTTTAAATCGGACTCAAAGGTGACGACAAGGTGCGGATCTTTTGTCCTCTAACAACCGATCTTCAGAGTACTATTTCAAAATAAAAACTTAGTTCTCATCATGAAAGAGCCTGGAGGCTTAATTTTAGGCGAGCAGGTTCTTTGAGCTTGATGACGCCCATTTGATCCCAAAAGCATACATTATCGTCAGGGAGTCAGCAAAAACACAAGTCAGAAAGATGAAAGTGTGCACTGTATCTGTTGATATTATAGTTTACTGTTCCGCTCAGCAAGTGTCTTCTTTAAATCAATAAACTTTTTAACTGCGGGTCAACAGGAGAGCCTGTTGGTAGGATTTTAGATTTTTGAACGCCAAAAACTTACGAATTACAAAAAGCGCCCTGGATCTGAGTGAGCGTGACCTTTGTGTAGAGAACCCCTTGTGATACAGTCCTTGGAATGGACATGCTGCAATTTTTCAATGTTTTCTAAAAAGAAAATTATTTGGCCTTCAAAAGCTACTTCTAGAGCCCAGCACAGCAATCATGATGGCTTAGGTGTCAGCGTTAGGAGCTCAGAGACATGCTACACAAAACAGAGTAGGTGAAGTGAAAACGAGTATTATTTGTGAGCATGTTTGATGAACCGCAACGTGTATCAGGTGGCGTAGCTTATGAAGTTTTTTGAATTTCGCAAGAAAGTCCCTGTAATACAAAATCCACCCACCCAAGGTACACCTAAATTTTACAAGATTTAAAGTTATGGCAAAGTTTCGGATTGTTGGCTGTTATATGAAAGCTGAAAAAACGGTTTTGGCAGAGCACGCAGGTGTGCGCTCTGCTCCAGAAACGTAAAACAGTTTAAGAACGACGTTTTCTTACTAGTAAAAAAGCTAACTTCAGGAGCCATTCGCGAAGAAGGAGATATGATCGTAGTAACAACAGCTCCATTAGTCTGACGTTTCGAATTCTCACACAAATCCATACTCGGGGACAGAATGGGGAAAGGGTGGTGGGTCGCACGGGTGTTGCTGCGCTGCGGCATGCCTATCAAATCTGGCACTTTCCGAAAGCATCGCTGGAAGCTGCACATGGCGCGATAATTGACTGGTCGGACAAGTGTTTCAGCATGCAGTTGCTATGCGCCCGCCCACTCGCCTGCCTGCCTGTCAAAGTTGTCGGTCACCGCACTTATCGCAGATGGTGTACGAGTTGTGGTAACCTGCTAAATGCCCGAGTTTTATCCCCTGTGGAGGTGCCTGGATAATATGGGTCGCTGACACTGGCACCAGGAATAGTGGTTATCTGCGCACTCTCTGCATGGCCAAGTGTTTTGTCTAGACAAATTTAGCGCAAAGTATAGGAGACTACTCTGGACGCGGATGCCTGAGCACGCGGCAGCAGTGGGAAGTAATGAAACCGGCTCCCAATTTGCTGCTCATTCACTGGGACGCGACTCTACACTCAAGTTCGATGAGGTCAAAGGTCTCGTGAAGGATGATAACTGGGAGAACCGCGAACTGCTCGAATCATGTCTTTCCGATCATCAGTCGACTCACAAACACAATGGCCTCCCCGCTCCCTATTCATCAAGGGGGCTTTGTCTGGAAAAACTGGTTAAGAACGTGGAGAACGCGCGGATAACCACTGCTTATGGCACCAGGGTCGACGAACAAGATTGTCCAAGAAAGTCCCCAAGGATGACGAAATTCCGGCAATTAGAAACTAGACTGCGAGCCATTGGGAGATAATCATACCACATACAACCGTCCGCGATGAATGCTGAAGCCGATAACTCTGTCAGGCGTGTGGGCGCATAGCAGTCAGACAATTGTCACAGTACGTACAACTTTCCGTGATACATTTGGAAGCTGTCAATTTGAATGGCATGCAATGGCAAAGCAGTTAAATCTTATAAATGCTGCAACCCCTGCGCGATTCACCGCCATTCCCCGTATCGCAGGTGACCTTAAGACATAGTTCAAAGAAATGGGGGTGTATATACATCCGTATCCGGATTTGTTCAAACAAAAATCAGGATTTCAGGTAGAAGCCTCAAGTATACTCCGAAAAGGGTCTTTTGCAAGTCAATTTCAAATTGCCTTGTCCATTTTTTACTTATGTTCGAATAAAACACCAACGAATGCTCTCTGCGAATGACCTTAACAGTCATATAATGATTCTTGTGGAGTCCAATTAATAATAACGTCTTTTTACTTACCTATGAGCTGCTTTGGTCATCCAAGCTCACTTCTTAACATCGTTCTGTCGTTGACAGTTCGCAACGGACGGACCTCATAAAAATTGGAAATACCTGCGAGCAACCCAGTCGACAGTACTTTGGCCGGTACTTTCTGTGTCCTTTCGTAATCGACTGTGGACAGAAATTGTTTCGAATAGCACAAAACGATAGAGAAAAGTGGTATCATGTCAAGAGCACGCCATCGATGTTTTATTACGCACCGCGACTGAAAATTGAGTTAAACAAACTATTGTAAGACAACTTAACGTCTGTGACTTATGGCAAAATATACAACGGATTTGCCAATCGAATTTCTTCAAACTGAATCCGCTCTCATTTCTCAAAACAGAGCGAATTTTAATATTCGGCCCCACTTGACTTTCATGGGTGCCAAATCCGATTTCCCATCGCCTGGAAGGATTTAGCGTATACTGACCTTTCTAACGCAGACGCAAAAACAGGCGGTCTTGCACTAGGATGCTCAACGGGATAGAAAATAACGTCCATTCCAACAAATGTCAACACAAAAGTGATGTCTAACAAATGTTTGCTCCAAGAAACGCCGTATGTGTCCCAAATTAATTCGGTGAGTAGAAATTGTACGACAGATGTGCTAACTCTTGAAATGTTAACCGAAATTCCAGAACGCGTTTTCGACTCAAAAATATTACTTAAGCAGGGTCACAAAATTAATCATCCTGCAGCATAATTCTAGGATAAATCAGTTACCTCGAGATGCCGGCTTTCGAAAGGACTTCTTTCTGGCCGACCACAAGAATTATGTTCTGCAAAAAAGTCTGCTTAATTAGTATGAATTTTAAATGCCCTTATAAATCCAAATATATTTGATCGAAAACACGCGCAAAATGTTTATTTCCTTACTCATTTGGACAAAACCTACATCCCCTTTCGATTGAGCGAAGGGTATAATTCGGTTTTTAAAAAGGTTTCCAATTATGAGATTTCTTAATACCGAGAAAGGCCCGTTCATAAAACATCGTGTCTCTGCATTTACTATAGTTGCCTGTAAAGTTTACAACATTGCCCAAATTAACTGCCAAATTTTATAAACATCATACGGTTTCATCTTAATGCCGTATAGAAATGTATGAACTTCCGTACACGGAAACTATATGACTTAAAGTTTAAAGTCCCCGAATGCAAGCGTAACGGCAGGTCGGGTTCAAAATTGTTTGGAAATCGAAAAAGTTTCTTAAAATCGAAGAATACCCTTCCTTCAAGTATAAGATTTGAAGGGAGCGTAATTTCTCACCAGATGATTGATAGAATAAATATTTTATTCATGTTTTCTATGAAATATATTTTAATTTAGAAGGGCATCGAAAATCCACGAGAAAAGTTCATACTAATTAAGCAACCATTTTTTAAAGACTGCAGTTCTTGCAGTCGACCGAAAGGAAGTTCGTTCAAACGTCGGCATCCTGAAGTAAATGAATTGTTATATGACTATTCCGCACGATAGTTATTATTACAATCCTATTTAAGTAATCTTTTGGGTCAAAGGCGCATTTCAGAATTTCGGTTAACACTGCCTGAGCTAGCACATCGACTCTAGCTCCGAAGTGCGGATAGTGCCCATTGAAATTCCATATAGAAAGTTTTGACTTTCGTTGTCAGCAAAAGCAATTCGAGGCGTGTTTTGCTGGCGGAAATTCAGAGCTCCTCAGTCCGAATGCCCTTCTAGATTTTGGCCACTTTTGTATTAGACAACACTGTAGGCTAGAGTACAGGCCAGTTGACTTCCTGTCAAGAAATATACACTTCGTGGTACCAGATATGTTAAGTTCCCCCCGTTCTTGGGGCAGACCCAACCAACTTTGGGAAAGAGATATGAAACAATTTTCAAACTGGCCGATTTCCAGACATTTGGAGACGAAAAATCAGCAGTCAAACACACAGCTGTAAACCAGAAACTCTCAGGCAAGTTGGCGTTGCGGTCGATTTGAACGTTGTCAAGTAGCCTACCAAATAGGTGTTCGCGGTGATTCTTGATTTTATTTGCAGAAAACAGTTATGAAATGGCGCGTTAAGTAAAACTTTTAGTGGTCCAACTAGTTCATAAAGTGTAGAACATGTTGACTTTAATGTGCTGAACAATGGCCAAAGCATTTAATCCCGGATTGCACGCTCCATTGTCCACTGACCTGGCGTCAAGGAGTCTACTTAGCAGCGTGGCTTCGCCAAAAAGAGGTCTGGAAGATTTCAAAACGCAGGCAAATTCTTCGCAGAAAAAAGATGTAATCTCGGACGGAAATTGCATACTATACTTTATATATAATAAAAGGTACAGTAGGTGGGCTAACTCATTAAATGTCAACCGTAATTCCAAAATGCGATTTAGTTCCGAAAAGAAAGGAAGGTTATTAGTCGGTTTAAATGAAATGTCCATCTGTGAGGTTATTTAATACCGTGAAATGGCCGTTCATAAAGCGCCATGTCTCTGCATTCAGTCAAAGAAATGCTATGATTTGGTTTTCAAAAACTTTTCCGATTCCCCAACTGCCGTTACACTTGCATTCAGGTCTTCCAAACTACGAGCCGTATATTTTCCGCTTGCGGAAATCCATAAATTTCTCTCTGGTATTAAGACAAGACTATAAGGGGTTCATAAAATTTAGCAGTGGATTTGAGCCGTATTGTTAACTTTACAACACACATTAGTAAATGAATAGACATGGCGCTTTATGAACGGTCACTTCACGGTATTAAATAACCTCACAAATGGACATTTCATTGAAACCGAATAATACCCTTTCTTTGAGTATAATATTGAAATAAGACATACTTTTCTACCGAATGAGTGGAAGACTGAATAGTTTTATGCATGTCTTCCATGAAATATAACTGACTTTTTAAGGGCATCGAAAACCAATGAGAAAAATGCATGCCACATACGTAGTCATTTTTTACAGAGTGTAGTTTTTGCATGCGGCTGAAAAGACGTTCGTTTGAAAGCCGGCATCCTGTGATGACTGAATTATTATATAATTTTGTTGCAAGGTAATTAGTTTTACAACCCTACTTAATTATTCTTTTCAAAACGAAAACGCATATCGGGATTTCAGTTGACATTTCATGGATTAGCCCACCTACTGTACATTATATTCAAGAGATCCAAAGGCCATTTTTGCCAGGCGTTTAATAATCGCCAGGCTCGGAGAGAAACTTGCATCCGACACGGCAGTTGACAAGATGAGGAGAATAGTGCACTGGCCAGGTCATCCTGCAGTTTTATCAGTTAAATCACAAAACAGGGTCCTGTTCAAACGCTGCAAATTACTTCTAATTGCCACAGCAGTGATCTCTAATATGCGATATATCAAGCACACATTTCCATCTTATCAGACCATCATGAATTTGCAGCTCGAACATTAGCTAAATCAGTACTTTTTGGTAGGCCTGATCTAACTCTCCCTGCCAACATTCCGGTACTTACTACCCACCCCAGTCTGCGGATTTTTGAGCATGTAAGAGAGCGAATTTGCAAACATTTTTGAAATTTCTACCATATACTGAAAAACGTGAAAAAACACATTGATTACTTCAACTTCTCCGGCGACAAAAACGTCAGAATGCCGCACAAAGTGCAGAATTTCCACCAAGTCAGATAAAAAGTGTACTGCAAAATGTTGGTCCTCTAATGGAAAAATTTAAGCAATCAAGAACCTCCTTAAACGGAGTACACGTAATTAAAGTAACGCAAATCCCAACTCATGCATGCTTTTAGATGTTCGATTCCATTCCCCAACGGTCAGGAGTTATTTTTCTGAGATATTGTTACTGAAATTTAACCCCTTTTTTAAAAGCGGATATCGTAGACTTCGGGACAGTCTAGCTCAAAGACTTTCCCTTAATAGACGTACCTCTTAGGACATGGCTAAATACTTTGAATGTTGGCAGGATTTTTGGACAATCTGATTCGCAAGTTTTAGGGAAATATTTTATGATATGACAGATGGGCGCTCACCGATCAGGTTACGAGACGTGCTTGTTCCGCTGTGCCTTGAGGCTCATACTAGAACTTTCACAGGCGGTCACACAGCAATTAGGGGTTGGGCATGACTGGCTGATGACGGCTAATAAGCTAAAAACGGTCATTCCGGTCTCCCTGGTTTTTGTCGATACCGTCTCATCTCATGATGTTTTGTTAGAGCCGTGCAGCGACACTTCCAGAAGCTGTTATATAACTGGACTAAAATGCGAACCTTGTAGATGTAAACGATGACAGATAAGGAGGTGCAGTTGTAATAAGCTTAAAGGCGGGGTCACTATCTCAAAATAACTTTTCTCAAACATGCCAGCAGAAATTTTGAGGATACGATGCAAAGACTAACTATTCTGGGGAGCGTCATGGCGGGTGCTTTCTGTCTGGATAAAAGAGTCAGTATTTTAATTAGTATTATTCACTTTAAAGCGCATACTGTACTATCGTCTTTTAATTTACTCTTCCCTTGACCTCTACGATGCACTGAGATAAAACCCTGCGGTTCCAATTGTTAAAAGCTATAAATAACAGTCCACAAGAAAATGCATAGTTCCAAATGCCTGTTTGTTTACCGAACGACTGTTATTTAAAATGTGCATGAAAATTTGGGAAGACGTTATTCCTTGTGCTATTTATATGATTCTAGCTCAGATGCTGGTTTGTACTCACGGATTTGATACACATCTTAAGCAGTTCATGTGTCCCTTGTAATTATTCCACTCCTTCAAAAAAAGGATTCATCTTAACTCGGTCAGGTTACATGAAGGAGCTACTTTCATGTCAACCAATCAAATATGCGAATCCCTGACATATACTCGGCTGATGGAGGCGAAGATGCCTATTCCGGGAAACAGTACGAAGAGGGATATGGAGTCGCTGGAACAAGGGTTTTATTTGTCTGAGGTCTTGGATTCGCGCTCAAATCCAGTATTGCAGAGAGAATTCAATATAATCCACATTAACCCAACTGTGAAAAACTCGGCGCCTCGGTGGGATTCGAACCCTCGCAAGAAGGGGAAGGCTTTAGTACAGCCAACGCTCTAGCCACCTGAGTTGCGAGGCCACACCAGAAGAAGTGAGTTTAATCACATTTGGATCAAGTTACCCGCCCAACCTACTGCAACGTCTGGAATCTACCAAATCTGATACAGCAAGTTGACTGGCCAAGCAGGATTTCCTAAATAATTCACCTATAATTACGTGAGCCTGGTAGCCATCTGGTGGACTCTAGGTGGATAACTTAAGAAATCCTGCTTGGGCAGTCAGTTTACGGTATCAGATTTGGTGGATTCCAGACATTGCAGTAGATTGGGCGGGTGACTTGACCCAAATGTGATTAAACTCACGTCTTCTGGTGGGGCTTCGCATCTCAGGTGGCTAGAGCGTTGGCTATAATAAAGCCTTCCCCTTATTGCGTGGGTTCAAATCCCACCGAGGCGCCGAGTTTTTTTATCGTTGGGTCAATACGAATTATTCAAAAATCTGCCGAAACATCTATGAATCCAATATAAGTAATACTCTGCATCCGATAAATGCTGTAACACCTGTGCAAAACATTACCCTTATGGGATTGTATCTCTAGTAATGGGCTCGAGTGTGAATCTGAAACGTCAGACAAATAAAACTCTTGTTTCGGATACCTGACTCTCTGAAGGGGAATATCGAACTTTTCTTAGGCCACAATCTAAGACAGTGAGATGTAACACTCGAAAGAATAATTGATTTCTTTCTGGCAAGCCATCATCCTTGCCTTCTGTACTATAATCTGGTTCTTCTGAAATTAGAAATAGGAGAGATTCTCCATGATTTCCAACGAGACTGACTCCTAGGCGAGCAGCTATTAGGCGGGTAGTCGGTCAATACGATTGCGTCGCTCTACAATTCACTGTCCTAAATTCCAAGGAGGCTCTGAATGGCGAAATGATCATGAGTGCGCCACATGAAGTGAGCACCTAAAGACGATTCAACTCCTTAACTACAACTAGCTAAGTATGAACGATGCATATTCAGGCAGTAGAGACGTGACACGGAACGGTTTTCAAAAACTAGTCTGCTTAGAAGTCTTGCGCTTTAGTCCAAACGAGGGATCATACTGTTTCCGTCAGAGGTAACGCAATGTAAGGGATGAAGCTTTCTTAAAATGAGCGTGCATTCAGCGAACAATCTCAGGAAATCTGCATCCGACTGGAAAGGGTTGTCTAAGTGGGGTCGTTATATTGATTATCGTGCGGCATGATCCCATAGTATTTCAGATAGGCCAGGATTATATCATTTCGAGGAACCTATTTTCGGCCGTCAACAATAATCGCACTCGGTAAAAATGCCTACCTAGTTAGTCTGCATGTTTTCTATTGATTTTCGATGTCTTTATACATTCGAATCTACCCGGTGGAAAATATGCACAAAATATTCTTTCTTAAACTCGTTTGGCACCAAATCACATCTTCGTCAAATTTTATACTCGGAAAAGGTTTTCTGGTTTTAAAAATTGCCTGATTATGAGATTTTTAAAGCCTGGCAGTTTGTACCCAGACAGTGACGTTTTTGTCCGTTTAATAATGTTCCTTATGAAGTATACAGCATAGCCAATATTAGTTGAGAAGCATTTTGATCGCTATGTGATATCTACCTAATGACATAAATAGATGTTTTTCATAACGCGGAAAGTATACAACTTGTAGACTCTAGCATTAAACGCAAATTCGAAAACTAAAAAAACATTTTCAATATTCAAACACACCCTTTTTTCGAGTTTGGAATCTAAATACGGAGTGTGTTGCGACCAACTTAATTTATAAATGAGGATTTCCATGCAGGTTTTCCATAAAATATATTTACATTTATATTATTAATGGAAAAAAGGCATAATAATTACGTGACCGTTTATATCGAATTTGTTTTTGACAGGCGCGGGAAAAAATTCATTTGGAAGTCAGCATCCTGTTACATCCCCACCTAATTAATTCTTCCTAACCGAACACGTATTTTAGAATTTCGCTTAACCGCAGTTAATGCCGCGTCTCTCCTGGGGAATATGATTAGATAAATACCCCGCACATTAAAAAGTTATTTTTTGAAATTTGTCATGCATACGTAGTTGGTGTGACGTCCTGGAAAAAGCTGATAAAGGCAAGGCGTAAGAAGTAACCTGGCGTGAAGTTTAAATTGCAGTTTATTAATCCTGCATCATAAAAAGTACCATGAAAACATTGGTTCATTTGTCATGGGTTCCGGTGTATACCATGTATTCACCAACAACGTCGTAGGCAATTGAAATTGACACAGATCCTAGTGCTGCTGAGTCCTGCATGACAGTTTGCAGATCTGTCTCGTCCAAAATTACATCAACGCTCGTCAGCTGGACCGTCGCGAACGGGTGCGGTGGCTGACAAAGGCCGTCTACGCGTGCCATATACGCCCGAGCCGGCAGACGATTGGCTAACTTTTTTAGAGGAACGACACAGCGTCTCGGAGTGTCATAATGGCCACATTAAGAAAGAACCACTGCAAAACGTCCTTAGAAAACCGAACTGTCCCATTACACTGGACGGCCACGAGTTATAGCGCATCACGAAGGCTTAAAGACCCGTTGGATTGCTTATAGAGGGGAGCTGGGCCAAAGGGCCGTGGGAATACAGTTCCCAGAGTCGACCTTGCTCTCTCTCTCTCTCCCCTCTCCCATGCACCAGTCCGCTGTCCGAATCAGCCGGCCACGCGGTGCGGAGGTTGGGCGCCAGTGGCTGGCGTGACATGAGTCCGCGCCTTGGCCTACCAACACACCCATGCGTATGTGGCATTTGTTAAGTGATAATAATGATAATTGTTTTACTAAAGACCCGCCAAGGCCCATCAAAGCAAGCAAAAATAAATTTACATAGAATTTTAGACGAGGTAGGCAGAATCCGTACAAAATGCAATTCAAAGTTTCTGAACTTGTAGTCCGTTAAAAAAATGATAAGCGAGTGGTAAAAAAACCTTACCTAAATATTTAAAAATGACTGGATTAATTTTACAGGAGAAATAAAAACCCGTCGCCAAAAACTAATAACAGAAAAATGCGGACAGGACTGACCTGCATGTGGCGGTTTATAACGGATTATAATCGGACATCGTCAGGGCGCACCCCTCGAGGTCCGGGTAATGCCTATTGTGCCCTGCTGGTTCACGATGCCCCCCCCCCCTACTTACGGACTGCATTCGCATTTATCTTTTCATTTTTTTCCCACCAAATCGTCCAAGAATGGCTGCGGAAGGCGTGGAAACAGGCGAGCGACGATTTCGTCTTCGAGGCCTGCCGTCACCTGCTGCATGATTACGCTTCTCATGCATCCTGCGTGCACCACAGTGAGAGCCTTCAACATCGCTCGGCCGTGCACTTTGAAGATTTCCTCGGCGGAAGGCGTCATTCAGAGGTGGAGGGAGCGGAAAGAACGGAAGAGAAAGAGACGGGAGATCAGATTCTAGCAAAGTGGATCGTGTCCATAAATGGCAATGATGTGACATTCCAAGAGGATCAAAAGTACGTTCATAACTGGTGCCTCTTTGTCTGAGAGGCTCATACACAAGTTTTCCACGTCATGATTAAGAGTAGTCAAAGTTTACCGGTGCTCAAAGTACTAGGGGGAGGGGGTATATGCTGCCATCGCGAATCAACCACCTAGTCAGTTATCTGGGACGTACAATCTCGGGGGTCTATCTTATGGTGGTTAAAGGGAGATAGTTCTCCTAAAACGGGTCACGCGATAGATGCGCTGGACCAACATGGGGGCCATATCGGATTCTGGAAGACGTTATCGGACTTGCCAACATTTCGGGGTGCGGTGGCAGAGCCGGTTGCAGTCGCGCACAGTGGGACCCCGGCTGCCCCTCATTGTTGATAAAGTCCTGGTCAAATGTTTGTTGTGGACCTGCGGGGGTGTGGTGGTGGTATCAGTAGTAGTAGTATTGGCAATGGTAGTAGTAGTGGCAATGGTAGGAGTAGCAGTTGTGATAATGGTAGTAGTGGTAGAAGTACTGGCAGTAGTAGTGGTGGTAGTAGTGGTAGTGGTAGTAGTAGTAGTAGTAGTAGCGGTAGTCCGGACCTCCGACCGAGCCACGTGGTAGATGCGTTGCACCACCACGGCGGCCATATCAGATTCTGGCAGGCGTTATCGGAATTACGCGCTATAACAAATGCCAATACCTCGGAGGTGTGGTGGCAGACCCAGTTGTCGACGTACGCCGCACACATTGGGGGCCTGCCGCCCCTCCTACTTTCGTTGTTGCTCAAAAACCTGGTCATTTGTCGTGCTAACCACGGGGTTGTGGGCGGATCGTTAAGGTGCGGGCTCGGCCATGACATCCACCTGCGCCCTCCCCCGCCCTCGGTCTTCTTGACTATGCCTTGACACCAAGCCCAGATGGGGGAGGGGAAGGAATGCGGTGGATTCTGTGCAAGTCTGTTATCACAATAAACTAATTCCCGCACCAGTCACCGTCCGTGCTCTCACCCTGCTAGGGAGCACACGCTGGGCATCGTCGGTTACGACGGTCGGACGGTCATACGAGATATTTCTGAAGCTGAGCCAGCAAGGATAAGAAAATCTGTGACATTCATCCGACTTTCTTGGCCTTACTGACAAGACGGCGGGGTTAATCTACTTCGAAGTAAATGATAAGAATTACTCCAGGAGATTTGCTTGTTATGAGTCGGCCATGACTGTCTTCAACTGCTGTAAGATTTTCAATATTCCCATGGTTACTTGTCAAGAATTGTTGTTTGGTAGAGTGCGGAATGTGTCGCTAGCTGGAACCCCATGTGATTGCCCTAGCTTCCACTGATGTTACTCAAATATTACTAGTAGCGTTCACAACGGTTGCCGCGTGGTAACCTCATTGGGAACAAGCGAATCAAACTGCGGAACCCAGGGAGTAAGCTCGGCCGGTAGACACACCCAAATGTGCGATTCGGGTAGAATTTCAATTAAGTCTGATTAGCTTTCTAATGCACGTATATCACCAGCTTAGCAAGCGCTGATGCAACATTTTAATTCTCTTTGTCAGTTTTTTTGTTGGAATTCAATGAATGAGGAAGGCATCAGTGTTTCCTTGCAAAAATAAAGTGAAAAACCAAAGCTTGGATTAAAAAGGCGATATAGAAGACATGTTACGGTCTAAACAAGCAGGTCCCTATTAAAGCTCCTAAGTAGTTTGACTTACGATAGGCTTTTTGCGTAAGCACACTGCTAGAACGTTTGAAAAAACAGAGCATTAGGCCGCTCAATGTTATATATTTTTTTCCGAAACCATCGCTCCTGAAACCTATGCTGTAATCCATTCTAAGTCTTTTGTGGTGATCTTTGTGACCATACAGATCATAAATATGTGCATCGAGGAAGAACGTTATTTTTGCGATAAAAGTACTTCAAAGAATGCCATTCTGCTAATGCTCCGAGATAGGTTGCTGAATGTGCTACGCATTGGCTGCAAGAAGTCCTCGGCTCATCGAGGTTTGCTGACGTATTTTCAGTGAAAAGTTCGAAGTGACGGAAACGTTATTGGTTAAAGAGATTTCGGAGGAACCGTTAATGAGCAAACTATCATTATCAACCGGTCAGATGCTGCGGAGTAAAAACAGTTTTCATGATCACCTTTTGGATATGACAGATCAAAGTGCACCAGGTTCGCATTGGGGGGTAGAGTCATACAGAATAGTCTGATTACGCGGGAACGCCCCAGGGTGAATTTGAAACTCTGATTCGTTTTTGGCTATCTGCAACCAGTGTCATTTACTGAGCTCACCAGAATCCAGGTGAGTGGGACGCCTCAAAAAAGACTATTAATAAACTGGACAGAATATCTGCTAAAAACGCGCATTTGTAGAAGCGTAATGCGTCTGTCGATCACGAAGGTATAGGACACATTTGGACAGACAGCAGGTATCATATTTTATCCAGGTAATCTTTGGGCTTTCTATAATCTTTGAAGAACCTAAACGAAACTCAAACCTGCTCTGTTACAGAAACCTCGATGTTCGTAAAGGTGGGCCAAAACTGGCAACCTTCTCTCCTAAAGCACAGTCGTAGCGGAAATCAGTCAAAACGTTGTCTGTGAGATGCATTTCTGCAAACTAATCCAGGAATAAATAACTTAAAAGTACATATTCACAAAACATCCATTCCTCCCCTGCTTTGTCTGACTTACAGGGGTGGCAGCTATAGTCGCTAAGGTGCGAAGGTGTCCTTTGTTTCTCCTACACGAACATCTGCCCCACACAGAGAGCGACAGTCCAACCGCCTTTGCCGACAGCGTAGGGACTTTGCCTTGCGCGTGAATTAGTTCAAAATAATGGTAGACTTACGCAGAACCTACCGCACACTCTCCTCCCCACCAGGGTCCTGTGAGTCGGGGGAGGGGAGACGCGGGCGACTGGCAGGACGAAAATCTGCACCCGGGCCCACAGCCTACACTGGGCAGGATTTTATATCACAAGAACAAACGGGCGGGAGAGTGGGACGACTCGGAATGCAAATTACCGATGACGCCTATCGGACTTCGATCTCCCCCCCCCATATAAGTGTTGCCCCAGCGCATTTGCCGCATGGCTTCTTTCGGAGGCACATGGGATCACCGTACAGAGCCTCAGGAGGTCGGACGAAAGACTGCCCATCGGTATACCTGGAAGTGCGCGCCCTCTTGTGTTGGTCCAGCGCATATACCTCCTGACCCGTTTTGCGTGCACCCATGAAAAGCAGATAAGACATCTCAAACTCAAGTCTCCAAATGAGAAAGTGTAAATTTTTCTGAGAATTCAATTCTGCGTTTGCTATCCATTGTGATAAGAGTAGGAGTTATCAAGGGCGCTGCCGGCCAAAAGCCTTTTGTGGACCAAAAATTGTGGCAGAATTCATCCCGTCGACTACTGTATTACAGAAATTACAACCTCCATTAGAAGTTATGTGATGAAATCGCCGTGGCAGCTATGGTGGAATTCACTTCTGGCCATAAATGTTTCGTTGCAATTAGCGCCCATTCACAAGCTTCGCATTTTCTTCAATTCCTACCTTACATATGAAAGTGTTTTCTGAAATGGACTTCTACGTTCAAACAAACTGCAGGCGTATCCATCTTTAGCCCTTTCATAAGTCGAAAAATGCAGATGTTTTAAGCTTTCTCCACAGACACTAGGTCCGTAGGTTGGGAAGAAGGGCAGTGAACTTTTTAAAGTTCTTAAGTGAAGTGCACAAAACATATTGTTTTTAGACTTTAATTGTCGAACCCGATAAGTTCTTTGACAGCAGCGCCAGAGAAGTTTGTTTTCGACTCCGGTCTATCACGAAAAACTGCGTACATCGCTCTAACGGTGTCATGCGACTGCAGAAATCTGCCAAAACACACCTGACTAGGCTTTTAACTGTTCTCTATGTGTATGGAAGACTTTCAGACACGCAGTAAATTTGCCCTTTTTTCAAACAGGACAGTCTCGTAAGTGCTTTTCAACTTTGGTTGAGGTAACTGGTAAGTGTAGGATCAGCTAATGCAACTCATAGCGTCAGTGACATGCGTGCGAATTACGGTTGGTGGGCTAACTCATGAAATTTCGAAATTCCGAAATGGGATTTCGTTTCGAAAAAATTAATTATGTAGGATTATAAAACTAATCGGCCTGCAGCATAATTCTATAATGATCCAGTTACCTCTGGCTGCCAGCTTTCGAACGAACTTCCCTCCGGCCGCATGCAAAAACTTCATTCTGCAAAAAATGACTACTTGAGTAGCATGCATTCTTTTCGTTGATTTTCGATGGCCCTAAAGGTCAAACTATATTCCATGGAAAACATGCATAAAAATATTCTTTCTTCTGCTCGTTCGGCAGATAAGTACGTCTTCTTCCAATTTTATATTCGAAAGAAAGGTTTTATTTGGGTTTCAAAAACATTTCTAAGTCCCGAATAGTTTCGAACCCGATCTGCCGTTATACTTGCATCCAGGGTTTCAATACTACAAGCCGTATATTTTCCTTATACGAAAATTCCCACATTTCACTACAATATTAGGAGGAGACAATATAGAGTTCATACAATTTAGCATTGAATTTAATCCATATTGTTAACTTTACTAGCCACATAGGTAAATCCAGAGACATGACATCTTATGAAGGGCATTTCACAGTGAATATTCAAACTTTCTATCCAATCAAATCCCCGGTCCGTTATATGGTGTTTTGCAGATTTGGACAATCAGTTTGGTCCATTTGTGAAAAAAACTCGACGACCTCCATGGGATTCAAGTCCATGACAGCAAGGTCAAGACTTAAGTACAGCCAAAGCTCTAACTGACTGAACTAGGAGGACACAACGGGCTCGCCGACTTTTTCACAATTGGGTCAAATGAATTATTCAGGTCCACCAAAAATACCAATTGAACAAATGAGCCTGGAAGTCTTCTGGTGGATTCTAGAATGATTACTTGGAAAATCCTGCCTGAGGAGTCAGTTTACAGTATCCAAATTGGTAGATTACATACGTTGCGTTAGGCTGGGCTGGCAATTTGAATAAAAATGTGAGTAAAACCACTGCTCTCTATGAGACCTCGTGGTTCAGGTGATTAGAGCGTTTGATGTGCTCAAACCTTTTCCAAGTAGGTAGGATGAATATTCCCAGTCGTCTTGGATAGGACAGACAGAAGAGAGTGAAGAGTAAAACAAACGCAGCCCAGATCCAATGTCAAGCAAAGCAGACGCATTTGGACGCACATATTGTGGACGCGAGGATTGTTTTGGGAATGAGCAGATGCACAGGATTCATGCGGAGGGCAGAATATTTTGGCTTTAACAGATAAAAAAAAATGACTGAAAAACAGAGGAAGCTCAGGCTTACTCCGACATCCGTGAAATACTTCCAGATCTGTTGCGTAATACCTTGAAAATTAAATTATATTTTATGGACAAAATGCATAAAAATATTCATTCTTTTACTATTCGGTAGAAAATCATGTCTTCTTCCAGTTCTATACTCAAAAGAAGATTATAATTCGATATTAAAAAAGTTTCTTACTGTGAGATTTTTTAATACCGTTAAATGGCCGTTCATGAAACGTCATGTATCTGCATTTACGAATGTGGCTTGTAAAGTTAACAATATTGCTCAAATCCACTGCTTAACTTTATGAACCTCATATAGTCTCCTCTTAACACCGTAGAGAAATGCATGGTTTTCCGTACACGGAAAATATACAGCTTGTAAATTTGAAACCCTGAATGCAAGTGTAACAGCAGGTCGGGTTCAAAATTATTCGGGAATTAGAAAAGTTTTTTAAAACCGAATTATACTCTTCTTTTGAGTATGAAATTGGAAGAAGACGTGATTTTCTACCGAATAAGTAAAATAATGAATATTTTTATGCATGTTTTCCATGAAATATAATGGAATTTTCAAGGGCATCGTAAATCAATGAGAAAATTGCATACTACTTAAGTAGGCATTTTTTGCAGAGTATAGATCTTGTATGTAGCCGAAAATAAGTTCTTTCGAAAGCTGACACCCTGAGGTAACTGGATCATTATGGATTTATGCTGCATGATGATTAGTTTTACAACACTACTTAATTTATCTTTTCGAAACGAGAACGCATTCCGAAATTTTGGTTGACATTTCATGAGTTAGCACATCTACTGTATGTGACCTTTAACTCTAAGGGAAAGTTATCTTTATTCGGCTGTTCCCGGTAAAATCAAATGTTGGAAGACTGGGACTAACGATTTAGGAGAGTCCTAAAACGTCGTCTGGAATTTGCTAGAATTCAACCAGGAAGCTGTAACAGAAGGCAGACATCCTTCATCTTGATCAGGCATCCGTGCCACAGAAGATGATCAGGACATTTAATCAAATTCCCACTGATAAAACCTCACAAGCCTATTGGATTTTAGCGGATGTCTAAAGGCATTTGGTCAAACTGATCCAGCGGCTTTAATTCACCTGGACTTAGAGAGAAACCGCACAGCTGTGTGGTTACTGAGACAAATCACCCGATATAAATATTTCATTATTAACTGATAGGTAGCTCTTCATAATTTTGAGAATATGAGTCTTTGAAGCGGTCTGCTTGCTGACGAGTGTACACTTGACCCTGAAAGCGAAGCAGGCACGGCGCAGAGCTTAATTGAATTGGCTTCCAAGTATGTTGGACCGGCGTTCGCCATCGATGATCGGCGCCTAAGTGGTATGAACAAGCTCTCCTACCTGAAAGCCACAAGTCAAAAACATCAAAATCGACCGGACAGTTTGACTAGAATCGTTGAACGAAGCCAGAGATTTAGTGGGTTATAAAATCAAGCTTGGAGCGTGTGGACCGTGCCATTCGTTGAACGGTCGTGGAGGAGGTTTTATGGGCGGGGCAGCACACAGGGCGGAGAGCGAGAAGAGACAGAAAGTAGATAAACTTCTGTTCAAAGTCTTGTCGTTCCCTACCATTTGGCAAAGAAGTGAGCGCAATAAATGAAAAACAAACAAAAAAACCAATTTTTGATAATAATAGACTTCGGATAAAGTGCCGTTGAAAGTTCACTTTTTGTCAGGAAGAAAAAGAAATGTTAAACAATGGCAACGGTGAAGAATAAGTAATGTTTACATTCACACGGGCTTTTGGGGTATATTTTTGGAATTACTATTTTTGAATTACTATTTTTGGAATTACCCTCTACTTGTGGATTCTACACCCTCTCGTTACCCAACTAGCAAATAATAGTTTTTGACCATGGGAATGGCAGGTTAGTCTGAAAAGTCTACCAAAACGAAGCAAAGAATCTTGACCATTTCCATCTGAGTGGTCTTAGAAGCGCAGGCCCTCCTACGTGGATGCAATAAATCAGACAAACATAAAACTCGACTGAGAAATTTCACCTAGAATCTCCAAAGGAAGTCACGTCTTTGAATGGTCACAATTCCCAGACTTAGACTGTTACTGACATCATTCTCAACGTCAAAAGTATGCTGTTAAGGCCTACCAAAACAGAACGAGAAGACTCGACCATTTCCGCCTCAACGGTTTTTGGAACATACGAAATCCGCATTAGCACGGACGATTGGCGGACACTTGGTCCTAAAATCAACTGGCATCTTCGAGGTTTTTGCAGTGCGTAGTAGTTTCAGCTCCACCGGATGCCTGATGCGTTCCCCCAACACTAAAGGAACACCCTGGAAACTCCAATTCAGATGTCTCGTGAATTAGGTAGATGGTTGATCAAGCCTTCAATAAGTGGGCTAACTCATGAAACTTCGAAAGAATTTCCGAAATGCGTTTCAGTTTCGAAAAGATTAATTAGGTAGGGTTGTAAAACCAATCATCGTGCAGCATAATAATATAATAAATCAGTTACCTCAGGATGCCGGCTTTCGAACAGACTTCGTTCCGACTGCATGCAAAAACCATACTCTGTAAAAATGACTACTTATGTAGCATAAGTATATCTCATCGATTTTCAATACTCTTAAACATTCAATTATATGAGATGATGCCGAAAAAGACAAGGGAGACCGGAATGGCCATTTCTGGCTTATTAGCCGTCATCAGCCAGTCATACCCAACCCCAAGTGTGGATCACTTGAGATTCGAGCCCGGGATCTTTTGATCATGGAGTTTGACGCTCTACCATCTGTGTCTACTACTAGTCGCTGTGCGACTGCCTGCGAGGGTTCTAGTATGAGCCCCAAGGCACAACGGAACGAGCATGTTCTGTAACCTGATCGGCGAGCGCCCACTGTCATAATTCAATTATATTTCATGAGAAACATTCATAAGAATATAATTTTTTTTGCTCATTCAGTAGAAAATTACATCTTCTTTCAATTTTATACTCTAAGAAGAGGGGTATAATTTGGCTTTAAAAAGTTTCTAATTGTGAGATTTTTTAGTACCGTGAAATGACCCTTCAAAATCGTCATGTCTCTGCATTTACCAATGTGGCCTGTAAACTTAACAATGTGGGTCAAATCCACTGCTTCATTTTATGAATCCCATATGGTCTCCTCTTAATACGATAGATAAATGTATTGTTTTCCGTACGCGGAAATTATACGTCTTGTAGTTTGGGAACCCTGAATGCAACTGTTACGGCAGATCGGGTTCAAAATTAGTCAAGAATTAGAAAAGTTTTATAAAACCAAATTATACCCTTTCGTCGAGTATACGATTGGTAGAAGACCTAATTTTCTACCGAATGAGCAAAAGAATGAATATTTTTATTTATGTATTCCATGAAATATAATTGAATCTTTAGGCGCATCAAAAATTAATGAAAAAATACATGCTACGTAAGTAGTCATTTTTTACAGAGTATGGCTTTGGATGCAATCAGAACGAAGTGTTTTCGAAAGCCGGCGTCCTGGGGTAACTGAATTGCACAATGAGCGATTTCATAGGCCTACTTAATTAATACTTTCGAAACTGGAACGCATTTCGGAATTTCTGTTGAAATTTCATGAGTTAGCCCACTTACTGTACACTAAACAGCCCTGAAAACGGCAATTTTCAACCTTTGTTTTTATGTATTCCAGAGTTAGAATGATAAATTGGCCCTAACGGTGGGATGATTCATACAAAATTTACTGGGAACATTTTACTACAGAGAAGCATCCTTACTCCCTGACTTCTCAGCTTCATACAAGTTTCCGTCATCGGAGGTGACTTTGATGTTTCGCCTTAACATCCTCAAAGGCTTCTCCAATTAGACTGCACATATACGCGTATAATGATGTCCACCGCATGCCTTACGTCAAGGTAACAGTGAAGTCGGTGACCTGCCTGTAAATTAGGTTATAATGATAGTGGACTTGAGCTGCATTTAGCGCACTCTCTCCCTCTTCATGTGATCGGTGATATTTTAGAGTCACGACGACCGCAGTCCGGATCGGACGCGGACAAATTTGAACAGACCGTCTTCGCGTGCCACACACACGCCTGATCCGCGCGTCAGGTTCTCCCGGAGGATATGGGGGGATGACCCCGATGCCATAGATCCTTCATGGAGAGGGCGTCATTGCAGTCTGGCTCTGTCCTGAGAAGGCAGCCCTTTAACCCAATGCGATGGTCTGAAACCGTGGCAGATTGTTTTTAGTGGGAAAAACAGGCACCGAGTCTTTGGGAACGAAGTCCCCACAGTCGACCTCACTCTCGCCTCCCTTTCCCTCTGCATCAGGCCGAGCCGACCATCCATCTGGTCCTAGGATTGGACGCAGCTAGCTGAACGGCCAATCGACGCGTGTCAAACACGACATTGTTCCGAACAATATCCCAGGACTTTACACAAAGAATGTAGGAACACACAGACACACTACTTCGCATAATACACTTTTTGAACCTATGTGTGGCATCTTTAAACGAATGTTGAGTCACTATGGTACAGCCCATGCGTTAGAAGCCTCTTTATCAACTAAAGCCTACTCTGTAATTTATATCCCTACATCCTTCTTAAACAAGGTTAAATCTTAAAGCCCCTGTAAATGATTTAGGCAGAATGGCATTACCGACAAAGACACGGGAGACTGGAATGGCCATTTCTGGCTTATTAGTCGTCTTCACCCAGTCATACCCAACCCCGAAGTGTGGAACACCCGAGGCTCGAACTCGCTACCTGTTGGTTAGAAGTCCACGCCTCTAACCACTGGGCCACGAGCCCGTTGCCCTGTTGGTTTTCGAGCGGCAATATACAATGGTAGGGGACGCTCATCGATCGTTCTTACGGAACTCCCTCGTTCCGTTGTGCCTTACGAGCTCTCTCTCTCGAGCCAAACCAGCAGCCGCACAGCGGCGCATGAAGTAGGCAGAATGATATTACCGACTGACGGCGGCCAATAAGCCAGAAATGGCCACTCCAGTCTCCCTTGTCTTTGTCAGTAATGCTATTCTGCCTATATCATATGCCGCTGTGCGGCTGGTCGTTGGGCTCAAGAGAGAGCCGGTAAGGCACAACGGAATGCGTAAATTTTTTAAGAACGATCGGTGAGCGTCCCCTAACACAAGAATGATTTTGAACAAAGTTTCCTTCGCCACACTCAACTTAAGGGAATAATTTCTGGGTCGAAATCGGTGTGCGGCCAACAAGCTTTGTCAGATGCTGAAAAGGATTATTGTTGAACAGATCAATATGAAAAACCCAAAAATTGCAGTTGTTGACAGCTTAGGCTTTTCTTAGAACAAGCCCTAATGGATATATAAACTGACAGTTTTAACAGCATTATGATAGGCCTGTTGTCCGTAAAATGAGTCACGAGGTAAATACGTTGAACCAACACGGGATCTACATTGGATTCTGGCAGGCATTATCAGGACTGCACGCTCCTAACGAACGCCAACATTCGGAGTCCAGTGGCAAGACCATTTGGCGGTTCATTCCGCGCCAAATGGGATCTGTGCCGCTCTTCTATATTAGTTGTGGTGTAAAATCCGGATCAGTCAGACTGGTGTTACCGACAAAGACAAGGGAGACTAGAGTGGCCATTTCTGGCTTATTAGCCGTCGTCAGCCGGTAATATCATTCTGCCTATATCATGCGCCGCTGTGCGGCTGCTGGTTGGGCTCGAGAGAGAGAGAGTCCGTAAGGCACAACGGAACGAGTGAGTTCCGTAATAACGATCGATGATCGTCCCCTACCATTGTATATTCCCGCTCGAAAACCAACAGGGCAACGGACTCGTGGCCCAGTGGTTTGAGGTGTGGACTTCTAGCCAATAGGTTGCGAGTTCGAGCCTCGGGTGTTCCACACTTCGTGGTTGGGTATGGCTGGCTGACGACGACTAATAAGCCAGAAATGGCCATTCCAGTCCCCCGTGTCCTTGTCGGTAATAACATACTGCCTATATCATGCGCCGCTGTGCGGCTGCTGGTTGGGCTCGAGAGAGAGAGAGCCCGTAAGACACAACGGAATGAGTGAGTTTCGTAAGAACGATCGGTGAGCGCCCCCTACCATCCTGATCAGTGTCAGCTGTGAACCAGGAGGTGTGGTGGTAGGCCCGGATGCGGTTTCACTCCCCGCATCAGCCACTGGCAGCCGCTCCCGCCCCCGGCCTTCTCACCTCTGTCTTGACACAGGATCCAGGGTCGGGAGGAGGAGGACGGTGTGAGGATTCAGGGGCCGGGGAGGAGGGTGTGGGGTAGACACTGCGCAAGTCTACTTTCACTATAAGCTTATTTACGCGCAAGTCAACATCCCTGCTCTCCCCCTGTTGTGGAACACACGGTCGACAACGACGGACGAACTATCGTATGCTAGGCCCAGAACCTTGTTGCCCTTGCGTACGAGACGTTCATTTATGTTTTCGTAAGTTGTGTCCACATCTCACTGACTGTGACGTGAGGTATTATTCTGACCAAAATCAAAGGGCGTAAACGTAGACCTTTATGTAGCTAGCTCTGTGAGCTCAACTGAAATGCGGTTAATGAATGAACACAATGTCCATTTTCCGATCCATTTTATATATCTGGTAAGCCAAATTATCTAAACGTTTCAGTTCTGTATAAGCAGCAACTCAATATCAAGAAATGACGAATTTATTCGATGTAGTTTAAGACCATCTTCTTCTAATTCAGTCCCCAAGAGGATTATTTGGAAAAGTTGCAAGTTCACGCTTGCATTGGCCCCGACGCAAACGATGTAATGAGGCCAGAAACGAAATGAATTCTCAAGAGACTGACTAAAATCCCAAAGCACCCTTCAAAATACGAATCGAAGGCATCAGTGGACTGGGAGGTTCATGCTGGCTTTAAACTGATACCTCGCCGGTATTTCTGTTACGTACTTGAAGTCCTTTGCCGACCTCGTTACTTCCCATTCATCAATTTTTGACCGGTAGGGCGGAAAATGGACTAGTTTTCTAAGGTCGCTTTTACTGAATAGGAGCGTTGATTAATTGTTTGGTTTAAGGGCATGTTTACTAGCACGGAATTGGGAATTTCCGGAGTTGTCTTTTTAAAAAGTGTTTAAATACTCATAAATTTTGCTTTCCAGTCATACCTTATTTGAGGGCGTCTTAGCATCCATCGCACCCAGAAGGAGGTTACTTACTAAAAAGTACTAAAATACCTCATAGTATTGCACATCCCGCATATCCAAGTACATCGGTCTAAACTCCTACGGACCTCAGGCGTTGAAGGGTTAAAACAATTTACACCGTCAATGGAGCGTTTTCAAAATATCACTTCATAGTCTCTAATTCTGCCCTATCCACTCGAAAAAGGCTCAAATAAATAAATAAATAGAACGAATTTATGGGATGTGTGTACCCCTACTCATCAGCTTCTGACATATCCTTCGGCAGGCGCAAATTTTTTCCAGTTGCTATTTCCCCTTTCTAATTAATTAAAGACCAGTGCCTCTTGACTGCGTTCGTATACGTCAGCTTAACAACCTCCAGTGATGCAAGTACATGTGTTGCGACAACTGGGCCATTTTCATGCCTCCGTAGAATGCGTCGGTTGTAGCTTCCGCCCCCCCCCCGGGGCCGTAGGTCAGGGGTGTTTTTTCACGAGTTGGGCGGGCGTCTCCTTGCCTCTATGCCTCAGGTCGAAAACTTTATGAGTTGAATGGGGTCCTCTGCGGTACAACAGGTCTGTGAAGCGAGTGTAGCCCTGATTTCAACTAACCACCTAATGTGGAATGCCCGTTTTAAATGATTGCGCCTTGTCAAGCAACAGAAAACTAATTCTATTTCTCTGAATTATCACTGTTTTGACGGGAGGGATGGGGGTCGATTGCGTCTACTGAAAGGCTATTGCAGATCAGTTCTGACGCCTTTTGAAGAATCTTGAAAGTAGCAAGGAGGGACGACAGAGAATGCGGGTAGATTGATACAGTACTGTTTCGGGCTTATTGTGCCTTCATTCAGCCAATAATAATCCTGGCCACCAGCAACTGGCTGAATGAAGGCACAATAAGCCCGAAACAGTACTGTATCAATCTACCCGCATTCTCTGTCGTCCCTCCTTGCTGTTATTATGACTTGGCCGACTTCGACCAAGTAATTGGTTGACTGTTTGTGACCTTTGCCACCCATACGGAGCTTGTTTGCTTCGTGAAGCCAATAGATCGGTGTGCGCCCATTCCTGATTGAATAAATACCCGATCTGCAGCGACAGAGAATGACAGGTGGCGAGTCATTGATTAACTTCGGTTCGATGAAGTGCTTATGACCCATCTGGTAGACCCCAGTGGTGGACCAGCTGCGCCAGGTGCGTCTGAGCGCATGTTTGTGTTTCTGGTTCCAGCTGCTGGTGGTCAGGGTTATGATTGGCTGAATGAAGGCACAATAAGCCCGTAACAGTACCGTGTCAATCTACCCGCATTCTCTGTCGTCCCTCCTTGCTGTTATTATGACTTGGCCGACTTCGGCCTGGTAATTGGTTGACTGTTCGTGACCTTTGCCACCCATACGGAGCTTGTTTGCTTCGTGAAGCCAATAGATCGGTGTGCGCCCTTTCCTGATTGAATCTGGAAAGTGGTACTTTTGCAATTCTAGGACTTATAAGCAATGGTTGGTAAAAACGGAATTTTGCACAGTTGGTGTGGACTGACCAGCTTCAGTTCATACACGGAAACACCATTCGGGTTCCTGGAAGCACCCTCTCCTCAAACGAGCTGCGTTGCAAGAGCGTTATTCCAGACTGGCCCACAGCTTTCATTCAACGTGCTACGCTGAGCTAACGCGAGCCCATAACTACCGCCGTATATTCATGTATTGACTGATACTGTGAAACCCATCCTCACGGCAAACCAGCGCATTGCTCACTATAATGAAGTCATAGTTTAGGGAAGCGTGCAAAGAAAAATCTATTGGTATCAACAGATTGCACGACGGCTCATCAACTGCATCCTGGCGCATCATAACATACAGTAGGTAGGCTAGCTTATGAAACGTCAACCGAAATTCCGAAATGCGTTTTCGTTTTGAAAAGATTAATTAAGTGGGGTTTTAAAACCAATCAGCTTGCAACATAATTCTATAATATTTCATTTACCACAGAATGCCGGCTTTCGAATGAACTTCCTTTCGGCTGCAAACTAAAGTGATACTTCATAAAAATTGACTACTTATGTAGCATGAATTTTTCTCATTGATTTTCGATGCCCCAAAAAGTCCAATAATATTACCAGGAAAACATGCAGAAAAATATTCACTCTTGTGCTCATTCGGTGGACAATTACGACTTTTTCATGCTTTATACTCGAAGTAAAGGTATAATTCGGTTTTAAAAAAATTTTATAATCTGGGGTTTTTAAATACCATGAAATAGCCGTTCACAAATCGTTCTCTCTATGCATTTAGCAATGTGGCTCGTAAAGTTAACAATATGGATCAAATCGACTGCTTAATTTTATGACCGCTATATAGTGTACCTTTATTACCCTAGAGAAATGTGTGGTTTTCCGTACGCGGAAAATATACGGCTTGTAGTCTGGAAACCCTGAATCCAAGTGTAACGGTTGAGCGGGTTCAATGTTATTTGGGAATAGAAAAAGTTTTTGGAAACCAATTTATACCCTTCCTTTGAGTATAGGGTTGGAAGGAGACGTAAGTGTCTACCGAATGAGCAAACGAATGAACACTTTTATGCATGTTTTCTATGAAATATAATTAGACATTTAAGGGCATCGAAAAGTGATGAGAAAAATCCATGCTACTAAGTAGTCAATTTTAAAGTGTTGTTTTTGTAAAGGGCCGGAAGGATGTCCATTCGAAAGCCGTCATCTTGGTGTAACTGAAATATTATAGAATTGTGTTGCAGGCTGACTAGTTCTACAACCCTATATAATTAATCTTTTCGAACCGAAAACGCATTTCGGGATTTCGGTTGACATTTCTTGAGTTAGCCCACCTACTGTAAATAACGAGTGGGAAGCATACAGCAGTTTGAATTTGTGCAGAAAAACAATGCAGAAACAACAAGGTCATGGTTTATAGTAATGCAGGTTAGTCAATAAAACTAGTAACTTAAGCCGAATATGGAATGAATAGTGGGCAGAGGTAAACATGTCAATCGGAAAGGGGATATATGAAAAGTAAGGAACTAGAGGTTATCACAGAAACGTCAGGCTGATCACATATTCAAGTTGTTTAAATACACAGCTCGAACGTTGATTCCAACAATGTTCACCGTTGATAGAAGCGAACGGGCGAGTTCCAGGTAGCAGTTAAGAAGATGAAGATGCGATCACTGGAACAAGAAATTTATTTGCCTGACGTTTCGGATCCTCACTCGAATCCATCATCAGAGACATTCGCAGATAAAGGTGATGGTGGCACCAAGAGTGCAGTATTTATAGCACGTGGCTGCGGACAAAGCAATTATGTCGGAGAAACTGGGAGATTACTCCGTACGCTTATTGCCGAGCACGCAGCAGCAGTGAGGCGGGGAGACGCTAACTCTCAAGTGGCGGCACACTCGACGGGACCCGGCCATATTTTCAAATTTCAAGAGGCCAAAATCCTTGCATGGGGTGACAACCGCGTGAGCCGCGAGCTGCTCGAGTCATGGTTCTCAGGCCCGCAATCCATCAACAAGCACAATGACCTCCCGGTACCCTAAACCGTACTGCGATTTCCCTGGGCAGGAGAATCAGTCACGTGGGGAGGGCGCGGGCGAGCAATCATCACGGTGACAGTGAACCAGTTTGTCGAGCAATCGTCACACCAGCATCCAGCACGGATGACGAAATCGCGGCCATTAACGACTCGGAATCGGACCGACAAGCCACCACCGCATCAATTACGACCCCAGCGGTGATTGCAGGAACTGTTAATTGCAGAGTGCATACGGTCCTACGGCAGCCACATGCTATAAATACTGCACTCCTGGTGCCACCTTCACCTCTATCTGTGAATGCCTCTGATTATGGATTCGAGTGAGGATCCGAAACGTCAGGCAAATCAATTTCTTGTTCCAGTGATCGTATCTTCATCTTCTGAAATGCTCACCGTGTTCTGCTCAGCTAGGTGCAGCAGGCACGGTGACTTGCTCAAGAATTAGTTTACAATGAGAGCAGACTTGCGCAATATCTACCGCACTCTCTCTTCCACACTCCCCACCTGCACCCGGTGTCAAGACGGAGTCAGGAAGACCGGAGGTGGTGGAGGGCACAGGTGGCTGGCACGGCCGGACCCGCACCTAGTGTGCCACCACACCCACCGCAGGTCCACAACATAAACATGACCAGGATGTTTCACCAACAACAACGACGACACCCTAACAGGAGGAGGATGACGACTGGGCAGCCATACCCACCACCTCTATACCCAAGAAGAGCTCGAGCGCATCTACCGGCAGGGAACCAGGTGTCAGGAAAATGTTAGCGAGGGTCATGGTTTGCTGATACTGGCATAGCATACACTTTCAGACCTTTTTAACTAGAAGGGCGACACGTGGCCCTGCATTTAGCCTTGGCCGTCAACCTTCAAGGTTGGGCAACCAAACAATGTGAAGAGTAGCTCTTTGCATAGGTCTGGTTTCACCCGTCGTGTGTAGGCCGCTTTCAGGTAACGCAAAGTCCGAGTTGTTCGTGCCCGAACAAGTACTCGGAAGGCCGTTTTAGGGTCGACGGAGTGTCTATCATGAAGCGGGAGGAACGCGGGACTATATTTTATTGCTTTAGAAGTCGCCTGGGCAGGTGATCAATTGACCAGGCTGCCAACTGTCTTTTGCGTTCGACGGCAGTAATTGCATTCGCAGGTGCATGTGAATTCTCAAACACAATGTGAAGTCACGTGTATTGGCAAGGCATCCTTCGCCCGTGAAATCGGAAGAGACTTACTAGGACTGCATACTATGAGTTCGGCTGCATTGTATGTCCTTTCAACGGTGGAACGTAGCTGTCGTTTGATAGTATTTAAAATAGTGTCGCCATTAAAGGGCAAATATATAAAAACGGGCTTTTTCGGATCTGAATGTTCTCTCAGTGTTGGTTGTGTAGAGTTGCTGTACGTGTGGATGAAACGTGCAGGACATCTTTGCATAGGCAGAGCTTCCTCAGGGCGTGCAAGTTCTGCATACAGTATATCATTAGAGCAAATGTTCCTAGCCCTTTGGAAAAGAGCGTATACCAGGCTACGTTTCCATCGTATGTGTACAAAACTCAAAAAATGCAAGTAATGTCCCTTCCAAGTACTCTTGTGGAGAATAAAACGTCGTATAGAATCATCTTTCTGTGTAAACATAAAAACGTCCAGAAAGGATAGTTGATCGTCCTGCTCCTTCCCTATTGTAAATTTGATCCTTGGATGTGGCTTATTCATAATAGAAAGTAGTTCTTCAGCCTCCTTAATGTCTCCAACAATAGCGAAAACATCATCCACGTATCCTTTGTAGAATAGCAGCATGTCAAATCTCGCGGAAACTTTTTCTTCTAGATGACCCATATAGATGTTAGCAAAGGTAGGGCCGAGAGGACTTCCCACTGCCACTCCGTCAATTTGTCTATATAATTGGCTGTTAAAAAGAAATTGAAAGTTCTTTGTACACAATATTAATGCGTCTCGTAGTGCTTCAGGTGGCAGACGGGCTTCAGATGCATGGGTACATATGATGTATATGGTTTCATCCAGAGGTACATCAGTGAAAAGTGATTCCTCATCCTGGGATATCATGTATTTCCCCGAAATGTCTTAATTTTTGATTTCTTTGATGAAATGAAAGCCGTTTTTTAGTGTGTAAGTAGAAAACCGTTGTCGGATTAGCTCTAAATTTTTGAATATTCACTGTGCTAGTTTGTTAAAAGGTGAATTATACATAGACAAAATTGGTCTTAAGGATATATCCCTTTTATGCGCTTTTGGTAATCCATACATTCTGGGTGTATATGAACCCCTAGTTTTTAGGCAAAACGCTGTTTTGTAGTCCAACAAATTGTTGTCCAGCAACTTTTATTGTTTTCCAGCCGGAATCCTCCAATGCCTTGGTTTCTTTCTTACCCGAGGTTTCTAAACAGGATTCGCTCTGATCACGTAAAATAACCTCCATTTTTTGTCACGTAGTCACTTCGATTTATAATGACAACCCCATGTCCCCTGTCAGATTTGGAAATTATTATTTGTTTATGATGTATTAAAGCAGATAGGGCAGTCATGTGTTCTTTAGTTATGGGTGTACTTTGTGTTAGTGGAGCTCTGCGGTACTGGTTCGAAATATCAACAAATTTTGCTTTCAGGCAGACCACGTCGTCAAGCAGGAGGAACGTGGGATTTTATTTTCTTGCTTTAGTAGTCATCTGGGCTGGTGCTCAATAGATCTGACTGCCAACTGCCCTTGCATTCGCCCAAAGTACCTGCACACGCAAGTGCATGTGAATCCATAAACAAAGGGCAAGCATCACTTGCTCTAAGAGCCAATGAATGCAGAAAATGTGTGTCTTAAAGTGATTCTCTTTAAGCGTGGATGTTTTGCACGTTCCTTCTACAAGGACAGCCAATCTTTATGGCCAAAACTGACGGAACATTCAGTTCTAAATGGTTGCACTGCACCACTGAATGGACATACAACGCGACCAAACTTATATTATGCAATGCTACTAGGCCTCTTCGAATCCCACGTTCAAAGGATGCCTTGTTAATGCACGTCACTTGAGATTGTACTTGCGGATGCAAGTTCTGCGGGCAAACGCAAAGACAGTTGGTCTATTGAGCACCTACCCAGACGGTTTCTAGAGCAAGAAAACAAGATCCCGCGTTCCGTAATTACTAAATATCTGCTTAATAGTAGCCACTCTCTCTCAATCTAAAACAACCTTTTGAGTCCTTGTCCGGGCAAGAAAAACTCGGACACTGCGTCACAGGGAGGCGGCCTATATATGACGGGTACGAGATGACTACTTATGTGGCATGCATTTTTCTCCTTGATCTCGATGCCCCTAAAAGTCCAATTATATTTCATGGAAAACATACCTAGAAATATTCATTCTTTCGCTCATTCGGCAGAAAACTACCTCTTCTTTTAAATTTGCACACTAAGGACGGACATAATTCGGTTTTATAGAAGTTTCTAATTGTGGGACGTTTAAATACCGTCAAATGGCCCTTCATAAAACGTCATGTCTCTGCATTTACCAACGTCTCTTGTAAAGTTTAAACGTGGCTTAAATCCACTGTTTAATTTTATGAACCCCGTATGGTCTCCTCTCAATACCGATTAGTCGTTGTGAAATTCGTTAGTACCGGTAAATACTGCTTTGCACTCTAGCAACAACCCCGTAACGGGGAAAAAGTGCTTCAAGTAGAATAAATTCAACTTGCTTCAGTCTATCAGGACGCGTTTAATGTCGTTACTTGGAAGGATTAAAAATGACGGGACGCGTCATTTTTTCTCAGACCTGCCAGTCAAACTGCGATGGTTCAATCTCTCCGTGTGACCTTTGGGACTTTCTCACTGGTTAGAGATTTGTGCCGTTCTCATAAGGGCCTAGTACATGTAGTGGGGATTAGGTCGTGTGAGAAACGCCTAGGCGAGTTGTTTAACTTTATCTGCCAACGCGCCTTACCCCACCTCCGGTCAACCCAACACTGTGTTACCATCGAAGCAGATGGACTTATGGGTGCGTGGGAGAGACTTGGGTAGAAATCGCGCAGGTCTGCAAGTCACTGGGTGTTGCGCACATCCCGTAGGGCACGAGATGCTTGTGGTAGCTTACGGGGATCTAACTGATATGTCTTCATTCATTATGACACACCTGTAACATGTTTACCTAGGGCTAAATAATGTTCGGGCCACATAAAGTTTATTTGGCGAGTTACAGTGGACTCGGGTGTCGTATTCACCCACTCGATAGTGGACTTGCGTCAAACCTACCGGGCTCTTTTCGCCTCCACCAACAGGATCCAGTGTCCAGACAATGTCGAGAAGACCGGAGACCACAGGTGGCTGGCACTGGGAGTGAACCCGAACCTGAGCGTACCACCACATCTCCCCCCCCCGGTCCACAGCGGACACTGAACAGGATTTACCACAACAGCAAAAATAGGGGATGGCACAGATATCGATCGGCGCGGCACGAGCCTGTGAATGGGCGTACCACAACACCTCCAGTGCTGGCGTCTGCGCGTCCCGAAAACGCCTGCGGGCTTCTAACTAGCCTCCGTTTTGGTCCATGACATCTACCGCATAGTCAATTTGATAACAGCCACCATACCACGTACAGTGAGAGACTGATCTCATGAAATGTTGGCCGAAATTCCGAAATGCGTTTTCGATTTGGAAGGATTACTTAGGAGCGATGGTAATACTGATTATCATGCGGCATAATCCAGTAATATTTCGGACTTGCCAGGAAGTTGGCTTTTAGATTTACTCCTTCTTGACCTCCGGGAAAAACCACCTTCGAAAAAAATAACGGTTACTTAATGAACATGCATTTTTCGCATTGATTTTCGACGGCCTTATAAATTCAAATATATTTTATAGAAGACATGCACTCCAATATGCCTTCTTCTACTCATTTGGTGACAAATCACGTTGACTTTACACTTTTTGCATAAAGAAAGGGTATATTTAGTTTTTTAAAAAGTTTCCCGATTCCCCAATGATTTTGAGCCTGATCACCCGTTGCATCGGCGTTTAGCGATTTTATTCTACAAGGAGCATGCTTTCCGTGTAAGGAAAATAATTTATTACTCTATGCCTTTAAGAAGATACTATTTAGAGTTCATGAAATCTTGCAATGAGTGTGGACTATGTTGTACATTACACGAGGAGCAATGGTAAACAGACGCGTACGTACATTGCACGGTCTTAAAGATCGCATAATTTAAACCTTCTTTAAAACCTAAGTGCACACTGTCTTCAAGCAAAACATATAAAGTCGACGTGATTTGCCACTGAATTTGTAGAAAAAAGCATATCTTTGTGCATATTTTCTGTAAAATATATTTGAATTTATAAGACCACCGAAAATCAATGCGAAAAAATGCATGTTAATCAAGTAGCCATTTTTTTACCAAAGGTGGTTCTTTCAGGAGATCGAAAAACAGTGTATTCAAAAGCTGACATCCTGACGAGTCCGAAATATTGCTGGACTATGCTGCAAGATAATCAGTATTACAACCCCACGTAAGTAATCCTTCCAAATCGAAAACGCATTTTAGAATTTCGGCCAACATTTCATGAAATCGGTCACTCACTGTAAAATGAGTCATTTCTGGTCCTGACGCCCTGAAGTCCTGTGCTTGTCTTTAAGGTGCTTTATTCAACTGTCTCTGCACACGGGGGTGGGCGGCCGGATTGAACACTCCGATGCCTTGCTCTGGCGCGTAAGATCTACTAGTTGAAATCAGTAGTATTGTCCGACGTCGACCGGAAAACAAAATAAACCCCTCCAAAAAAACACTTGGCGAGACTTAATCCGTACAGAAATGGAAGAAATGGAGCGCTAAACAAACCAATGGTCTGCTCGACCTTCTATTTTCCAAAAAATAATTTGCACGTAAAAGGATTCCAAGGCAGTTTGCCTAGTTCCCTTATTCTCAAGACTAATAAGTAATTTTCGTGAACTGCTGCAAAGCCGCTGTTGCCTAAGCCCCCGGTTTCAATTTCTGCCCCCTGTTTTCCAGTTGTTCGTGGATGCTTTACGACTTTGCTCGCGAGCAGATCGGCCAGCTGATGCCTACTCATCGATCGTTCTCACCCTGGGCATTCACCGTCTCCTCACTCCGGGTTGTCCCTTGCCCGAGCCAATCATCTCGAGTCCACATGGAACCCGCAGCCGGCCCTCTAGCAGACAGTGTCAACCACCTGCTCAGCACCATGCTCTATGCTCGTGAAATACTCCATTCTCTGCGTCTGCTCACTCGTCTTCTAAACCAGCTGGTCAACGTGAGTTCTGAGTTATGTAATATGAGTAGTGCCTCTCAGTCGACGACTGCTCGGCTACCCAGCCTTGAAGGGTGACTGCAAATTCAGGGCCACGTATCGTCTCCCTAAATCAAAAGTCCTCTAAGCGTCTGCTGTACCAGGATCAGCAAACCGTGGCCCTTTAAGTCCGGCATGCGCTGGCAGTTCTCCAACATCTGGTCCCCTAACGCTAGACGCGCTTGCGCTCTCACTGCAGTCATTCTCGTCCCTTCTGCGATGTTGCTGTTGGTTAAATTCCAGGTCAATTGTATGATAATTGTATAATAACTACATGTAGACACTGTTTTTTGGTAGAGGGGCGCTCACCGATGGTTCTTACGGAACTCGCCCGTTCCGTTGTGCCTTACGGGCTCTCTCTCGTTACGGGACATGATCGCCCAGTTGTGCATTGGGGTATAGCCAATCAGAAATGACCATCATAGCCTCGACCCCGCCTTCTTCAGCACTTCTCGCCTGCATAAATTGCTCGCCATTAGACGACTGCCTTCGAAGATGTAGATCAAACTTCAAAAGCATAGCAGGACGAGGGGACTCCTTAATGCAATCGGTGAGCGCCCTCCATCCCAGTTAATATTCTCGATTTAGACCGACAGGACAAAGAACCCATGACTCAGAGGTTAGGAGCATTTGACTTATAACCAAAGGGTCGCGGGCTCGAGCTGCTGACGGTTAATAAGCCGGAAAAGATCATCCCTGGCCTCGTCTACTGGTCGCAGTGCAACTGTTTACGAGCCCAGAGGCGCACAGGGGCGGCATGTCCAATAATCTGACCGGTGAGCACCGTTCACCACGAAAATCGTGTTTTTAATACGGCTCTTCAGAGTACGCAGATAAAATCCTAGCAGCACAGGTACTAGCTGAAAACCCGGACAAGTCTGTTTTGCTTATATTTCTCTCCTGCGTGACACAGCTGAGAGGGATTCAGCTCATCAGCGGGTCCCACGGCGCTCCGAAGAAGACACTCCAGTTTAGAAATTGCTGCATTTAATTTCTTCAGAAATTAACTGGTAACCGCTAAAAGCCTTTAGCTAGTACCTGTGCTGTTATTATGGCATCATCTTTCCCTAGAATATACTACTAACTGCCTGTAGGCAGTTAATGAATATTACGCGGTTGACCGCTGTGATTGATGTGGTTCGGCCCAAATATTTATGCATGAAATTCTCGTTCCGAACCTATAAACCTTGAATAAACTGATCTACTCCAAGTTCATTGTTTGCAAAATGCCGCGTTTTTGTTTCTTCAGAAATTTACTGGTAACCGCTAAAAGCCTTTTGCTAGTACCTGTGCTGTTAGAATGATATCCTCTTTCCCGAAAATATACTACTTGTTGCCTGTCAGTAGTTAGTGAATATTACGCGGTTGCCCGCTGTGGCTGATGGGCTTCGGCCTAAATATTCATACATGAAAATCTCGGTCAGAGCCTACAGACCTAAAATACACTGGTATACTCCAAGTTTTCAATTGATTTCTGACGTAGTTAAAAGGTAACAACTTCTAAATCGGAGTATCTACTGTAAAGTAGAGGGGGGATGCTGGGGGACCCACTGATGAACTGAGCCCCTCGCAGCTGTCATACAGCGGCAGAATATCGGCGAAACACCTGGGTATGGGCTTTCGGCTAGTCTGGTATGGTATTCCCTTAGCATAAAGTAAACTACTAGTAGCCCGTAGGCAGTTAATGAATACTGCGCGGTTACCCGCTGTGGCTGATAGACCTCGACCGAAATATTCATGCATAAAAACTGAGGGCTGCACCTATAGATCTTATTATAAAACCGATCTACAGTAGGTAGGCTTACTCATGAAATGTTAACCGAAATTCCGAAAAGCTTATTCGTTTCGAAAAGTTTCATTAAGTAGGGTTGTAAAATCAATCACCATGCAACATCATTCAATGATAATTCAGTTATCTCAGTATGCCGGCTTTCAAAGGAACTCATTTCCGACAGCGTGCGCAGTCCATGCTCTGTAAAAAACGACTACTGAATTAGCATTCACTTTTCATTTTCATTTCATGTTCCATTTCCCGAACAATTTTGAACTTTGATCTGCCGTTACCTTTGTATTCAGGGTTTCCAAACTACAAGCCGTGTAGTTTCCCCGTACGGGAAACCGAAAATTTCTCTACTGTGTTCAGATGAGATCATATGGGGTTCTTAGAATTTAGCCATGCATTTGAGCCATATTGTTAACTTTGGAAGCACCACTAGAAAATGAAGAGGCATGACAATTAATGGACGAACATCTCATGTTATTAAAAAATCTCACAATTAGAAACCTTTTAAAACCAAATTATACCCTTGCTTCGAGTAAAAAATCGAAACAAAACGTAATTTCCCACAGAATAAGCAGAATAATCAATATTTTGATGCATGTTTTCCCTGAAATATAATTGAATTTTCAAGGACATCGAAAACAAATGAGAAAATTGCACGCTACTTCAGTAGTCGTTCTTCTACAGAGTGTAGTTCCGGTATGCAGCCGGAAGGAAGTTCGTTTGAAAGTGGACATCTTGAAGTAGCTGAATTGTGTCAGAATTATGCTGCAGGCTGATTAGTTTTACAACCCAATTTAATTAATTTTCTCGAAACTAAAACGCACCTCGGTTGACATTTCTTGAGTTAGCACGCCTACTGTTGTTCAAAGTACGTATGGTGTTAGAACGGCAAATAATTACACAATTTGTGAAGAAATTGAAAAAAAACAATGCTTGCTCTGCCCTGCCCCTCATTCCTCCGACTAGTATGACGCCAGCAGTGAGGGCTGTGGTTCCGCGCTCATGCGAATGCGTCACTGCGCCCTCTGCTCCGGACACCTGCTGACCTACCCCTGTCCGGCACTTTGCAGCGCAACGCTGGACTTCTGCCTCCGACCCCTGCTCGCCCTCAGGCCTCTCTGGGAGGGAATATTTGGTAGGTTCTTCTGCTACCGTTGTTGACGTTTCCTCCTCCTAGGAAGGTGCTGGTCAGCAGCTGCTACCGCACGTTTCCGCTTGTCATTTCTCACAACTTCCTGAAGCCTGGCACCGTTGAACAGCACAGTTCAAGCATCGATTTCGATGATGTCCACCGTGTGCCCCACAGACTGCAGGGACGGCGAATTACGCAGGGGTTTATAGTGCCAGTAGACTTGCGTAGCATCTACCTACACTCTCTCCTCCCCCGCCCCCCCGCCTGAGCCCGGTGTCAAGGCCGAGTCAAGAAGACCGGAGACGGGGGAGGCCGCAGGTGGATGGCTGGGACGGATCCTCGCCTTGGCGCTCCACTCCGCACCCCCTGGTCCACACACAAATGACCAGGATTTTGACGACAAAACAATGGGGTGGTGGCGGTGGTCCAGTTGTGCGACGAATGCCGACAACAGGGTCCGCCAGCGCACCCCGCAACTGCTGGCATTTGTTATTGCGCACAGATAACGCCTGCCAGAGTCCGGTGTGGCCCCCGTGTTGATCCAGCGCATCTAACACGTGGCCCGTTTTGAGGGCACGAACAGCACAGTACACAGACATAAAACCACACAGAAGCATCAGAGTTCCCTTTAGCTGAAACAGATATGGCGAATTAACTTTAATTGTCATTATACGGAAGCAAACAAGCAGTCATGTTGGACACCTCTGTCAAATTTGACGAACAAATTTACATAATCAATTATTTTAGTGCGTGGGCCTGACAAAGTCGATCCGACGTTGGCAACTCTACTGTTGAGTTTTAAATGACTAGGTCCCTAGCTATGTTTGCGAGTTCGGTTGCATGCCAACATAAATTCTCTAGAAGATCACCATTACCGGACTCCGTCTCTGATGATGGATTCGAGTGAGAATCTGAAACATTAGGCTAATAAAGCTCTTGTTCCAGCGGTCGTGCCTCCCTCTTCGAGGTCAACCTTTATTTACAAATTTACGAATCTTTGCCAGATATCTGATAAGCAGCAGACCAAATTGGATTATAACAAGACCGCCCTGTGTGACCTAAAAACTTTCTAATTGGCCGACCACTTGTTTCTCTATTGAGCCATCTCAAACAACCGTCTAGTTTCACCAAGTTAGGCAACCGTTTGTATCTTATGGCCGTTGTCGTAAAACGTTTTCGCTTGTCATATCTCCCAACTTCCTGAAGCCTGACATTGTTGAAAACCACGGTACACAAAAATCCAGCAGAATATAAGCATAAGAGTTGTGTTTAGTTGAACCAGATTTGGCACCTTAATATGAATATCGCAAAATTGTAACGATGTGGAAACAAGCAAGCAAGCATGTTGGACACCTCTGGCAAAGCTAACGAAAAAATTGCCATAATCAATGGTAGAGGGACGCTCACCGATGGTTCTGACGGAACTCACTCGTCCCGTTATGTCTTACGGGCTCTATCTCAAGCCCAACCAGCAGCCGCACAGCGGCGCACGGTATAGTCAGAATGCTATTACCGACAAAGACAAGGAATACTGGAATGGCCATTTCTGGTTTATTTGTCGTCGTCAGCCAGTCATACCCAGCCCCAAGTGTGGAACACCCGAGGCTCGAACTCGCGACCTTTTTAGAAGTCCAACTATTGCCGATCGAAACCGACGGGACAACAAGCCCGAGGCTCAGTGGTTAGAGGCATTGGGCATCTAACTAACGGGTCGCGAGTTCGAGCCCCAGGTGTTTCACACCTCGGGGTTGGGTATGACTGGCTGGCGACAGCTAACAAGCCAGAAATGTCTATTCCAGTCTCCCCTGTCTTTGTCGGTAAAAAAATTCAATTATTTTAGCAATTAAAACGTGGGCTTGACGAAGTGGAAGAACCCACCTCTCGACCGGACGCTGAGACCCCTGCCGCTGAGTTTTAAATGACCAGATTCCCAGTTATATTCGCGACCTCCATTACTTGCCACCACAAAACCTCCAACGATCAACCTTGCTTTATAAACTTGGAAATCTTTGTTATTTAGTTTATAGGCAGAAGATCGAATTGGATTCTTACAAGGTCCTGGTAGATTTCTAATTTGCCGACCTCTTGTTGCTCTCTTGAACTATCACAAACGACCGTCTAGTTTTACCAAGCTAGGCAAACGTTTGCATCTTAAAGTCGTCTTCGCCCCCCTATACAGTAACCCCACGTCGGCGCGGAGGTCGAATTGAGGCAGGGTCCGCCTGGCTATTGTTCGACGTCACGGGGGTTCCGTTAGGAAGCGAACCGATAACAAGAGAGAAGTTGAGCCAAACATTATTTAACTCACAACTCCCGGTAGAGTCTCGTAGATGAGGTGGCTGGAGAGCGTTGGCTGCACTAAGGCCTCCCCTTGCTATCCTGGGTTTAACTCCCACCGAGTTGTTAACAGTCGGGAGATGGCACCCAAAAAAGCCGTCTAACCAAAGCAGCCTGTCTTACGGGACAGATGGTAATAGGGATTTTATGGGTGGTGGCTGGTCGGGATGTACGATACTTGCCGACGGAAAGGCTTATTTGAACAGGTAAGTGATCGAAGTTGCCCCGCTCTCCGTTCCGTCAGCTTACAGCACCATATTTGGTGGATTTTAGACGTTGCGGTTGGCTGTGCGGGTAAATTGATCTAAATGTGATTAAACTCACGTCTGCCGGTGTGGCCTTGTAATTTAGTTGGTTAGAATGTTGGATGCACTCAAGCCCTACCCCTTGCTGTCTGGAGTTCGAATCCCACCGAGTTTGTCGAGTTTTTGCAGTTGGGTCGAAATTAGTTATTCAAAATCTGTCAAACCAATTATTAACTCTAAAAGTATTAACGATGAATATTCACCTCCTGCTTGCTAATCCTACAGAAGGTTTTGCCCTCTGCATCTTTCCAACCCCACCGCTTCTGGTATAACGGCCACGCTCCAAGTGATGGTTGCTATTTTGTTCAAATTCTCTTAACCAAAATGGAGTAAGAGGTTGGGCATTTCCGGCCATTTGAATTTCGACTGGATAACCGCTACAGCTAAATCTACCAGACCAACAACAGGTACTATACTTTGCCCGGACGGTTCCCCCTTAGAGTGAAGTAATTTCCACTAGGGGCGGGGTTTCACAGGTGCCCGCAGTTAGGGGACTATAAATTTCTAAATTCGAGCACTTTTTCACGTCTATGTCACCGCCTTGTCCACATAATCCCTTAAAACCTTCCGACGAGATTTTTTCGAAATGCAATAACCCTACGGCCAGAACGCTCCTAAAGCAAAGATTTAGGCAGATAGGGTTGATTGAACAGACAGCACTCCGGTGGCAGAATGTACACGCAGCTCAGGGGACGATGACAGCAAGTGCTCTCTCAGCCGAGTGACAGCCGTTGCGGTTTTTGACCTCTAGCGCGAAACGCATGCATGCGCCTTTACGATGTCCACCTTCAACGAATCCATGAGCTCTTGTCATATTGGTACGGTTGGTGGGCTAACTCATGAAATGTCAACCAAAATTCCGAAATGGGATTTCGTTTCGAAAAAATTAATTATGTAGGATTATAAAACTAATCGGCCTGCAGCATAATTATATAATGATCCAGTTACCTCTGGCTGCCAGCTTTCGAAAGAGCTGCATGCAAAAACTGCATTCTGTAAAAAATGACTACTTGAGTGGCATGCATTTTTCTCGTTGATTTTCGATGCCCCTAAAGGTCCAATTATATTACATGGAAAACATGTATAAAAATATTTATTCGTCTGAGCATTCGGTGGAAAATTACGCCTTCGTCTAATTTTATACTCGAAGGAGGGGTATAATTCGGTTTTAAAAAGTTTCTTATGAGGTGAAATGGCCGTTCATAAATCGTCATGTCTCTGCATTTCCCATTGTCTCTTGTAAAGTTAACAATATGGATCAAATACACTGCTTTCTTTTATGAACCCTGTATAGTCCCCCTTTATTACCGTAGAGAAATGTGTGGTTTTCCCTACGCGGAGAATATACGACTTGCAGGTTGGAAACCCTGAATCCAAGTGTACCCGTAGAGCGGGTTAAAAATTATTCTGAAATTGGACAAGTTTTTGTAAACGGAATTACATCATTCCTCCGAGTATGAATTTGAAAGAAGACGTAATTGTCTACCGAATGAGCAAAAGAATGAATATTTTAATACAATTTTGCCACGAACTATAATTGGACCTTTAGGGGCATCGAGAATTAATGAGGAAAATTCATGCTAGATACGAAGTCATTTTTAACAGAACGTGGTTTTTGCATGCAACCGGAAGGAAGTTCATTCGAAAGCAGGCATCCTGAGGTAACTGAAATATTACTGAATTATGTTGCAGGCTGAATAGTTTTAGAACCCTACTTAATTAATCTTTTCGAAACAAAAACGAATATTGGAATTTCTGTTGAGATTTCATAAGTTAGTCCACCTACCGTATGTCCTATCTTTGTCGGCAGCACTTCCTAAACGTGCATCTAACTCGCGCAAATACATTTTCCGTGTAAACAGACGCCTACCAACCGATAAGCAGTCATCCGGGGAAAGCTCACGAATGTATGTTGCGGAGTGATCAGCTGTTCAAATAAACACATCAAAAACAGGATGATTTGGATTTGGGGCCACAGCACGGGAACCACAGGAGTAAGTCTGGGTTTAAAAATTTTGGGAACAAAGATGGGTGAATGCGACGAAAGATGTTGTGCCCTCCAGGACCGGAACTGAACGAAAATAATCCGAACCATACGGCCATCATTTAATATTTTTGAGTGGGAATGCCTGGGCGAGAGTGTAATTAATTGGGCAAATTTAAACGGGCGGGAGTTAAGTAAATCGAAACATTTGGAGAAACGTCAACAGATCATCATTTAGACATTTCCTTGGGAATTGTGGAACAACCTGCTTTATGCAGTAGGATGTGTGCTTCTCGGCGTAGAAAAGTGTCCAAAATTATCTTAGAATGAAATGCAATCTCGATCCGAACTAAACCTCCAGACAACGACAATCTCAGTACCAATCTAATGTCACTGTTAAATGCTGTACAGTATTCCAGCGATAACAGTACTAACAGAACCATCCGTAAACTATAGTGAGTGACCGATCTCATGAAATTTTGGCCGAAATTCTCTAATGAGTTTTCTTTTGAAAAGGATTACTTAGGTAAGGTTGGAATAGTGCATTTCATGTGGCATAACCCTATACAATTTCGGGCTCGCCAGGGTATCAGCTTTTGAATGCAATTTTTTCGACCTTCTGTAAAAATCACACTCTTTAAAAAATAACTGCTCAAGTCGCATACATTCTTCACACTGATTTTCGTTGGTCTTATAAATTCAAATATACTTTACAGAAGACATACACAAAGATATGCTTGCGTTTCTTCATTCGATAGAAAATCAAGCCTTTGCATTTTATATCCGGGGAAAGGATGTCTTTCGGTAGGAGTCTGTTAAGCTGTCCTGGTCCTAAGTGTAAGCGCAATGTGGGCATTGCAAGTAAAGTAAGCCGAGGGAGGATGCTGACTTTGTTAGTGGAGAAATAGCCAAAGATAAAACGGGAAAGGGCAGCCTGATGTTTCGGTTTAGAGGTAGGGTTAGTTTTAGGGTCTACGTTGGCGTCAGGCTGAGAATTGAGTTTAGGGTTACGGTTTGTGTTAAGTTTACGGGTTAGGGTTAGAGTTAGGGTTTGGATTGCAGTTTGGTTAGTGTTGGGATTAGTGTAGGGTTACGGTTAAGATTAGGTTTGGAGTTATGGTTAGGGCAAAAAATCCGGAAAAGGAAACGGTTATTCAGTAAAGAACGAGGGTGCTCTTAGTGGACAAAGAGGGAAAGAATTAATGGGCCAGAGATTCTGTCCTAGAGACACAGCTACGAGTTCAGGTTCCCGTTAAGAGGAATAGTAGCTCTGGATGTCCGGAAGAATCACGACGCGCTGTCCTGACGTCTCGGTCACTTGAAGATAAGAATATTAACAAACAGGCGGCCTCTGTGATACCGCCCGTTGAGTTGGCCAGGTGCCCCCTTGACCGGAAACGAGATCATGCCATCTTTCGACTTATTAATCTCCGATAGATGAGAATCCGCAGCGCGCGTAAGAATGATCCCTACGGATCGAGGAGCGATCAAGCGCATTTGGGAAATTGCAGACTGCGTGGACAAATGGGAGGCCGTCTCATTGGACGTCAGCACTCAAAGATTTCGCCTTATTATATATTATATCTCGCTGCAAGCGAGACGATCGTCTTTCCGCTTTTGAGGTCATCCGAGAGTGTGCATGTTGCGTGTGAAGTATACTGGCACCATAATCATAATCCCAACATCACAAGCTTGGACAGCGCGGGATCTGTAACTATCTAAGCGTTGGATTCACAAGAAGATGTCCACATAAAGTGAGGCTGATCTAGTTCAACTTGTTGTCAGGCACTGAACTTAAGTGCTTTTTTTCAAAAAAGTCATTTGTTCTTAACAAATTCCTACGTTACGTAATTTCTAGTCTGCAAAATTTGAAAGTTTAAACATTTTCTTAAAGTTTTCGCCACGGGTGGGTGGGCAGTGATCAAGTATGTGCACGTGGTAAGAAAATGCCAAACATTTTTTAACAAATCCACCAGCGTTTGAAGACCTCTGCTTTACTGGCAGACGCCTGCATCCATCTTACAAAATTCTATGTATTTTTTACCATCTCACTGCTCCTTATGCTCTAGCATATAAGTACTGGCTTGCTTGGAGCTCAACCTTAGGCGACTCCAAACGCGGCAACATGTTAACGAGTGGTTAATCGCTCCCACACATTTGTGGAGAAAGCCGCATCAATGCTCGGAAACGCGGCCCTGCAGGGAAATGGAGAAGCCTAGGCGCGTCCAATACGACAACCGTAGTAGAATGGGCTTTGCGGATGAGGCTGCGGAAAAACAGTGAGGAATGTGCAAAAATTAAGGAAAAAACGCAACTATTATAGGTAAATACGCCAGTTTGTTTTAGTGCGTCCTAGAATCCCTGCGCAAGAGGCGCGCAACACCAAATTCCCCGAAGGTTATCGGCAAAAGCAATTCCCCGAAAAATAAGGACGATGGGCCTATCAGGGTAATCGAAACTGAGCCGCTCAAATTGTGACCAATCAGAAGTAAGCCGTAGAGGCAAGTTGTAAAAAGTGGGTGCCGAATGAATCCTCAGCCCTATTCCTAACCGTAAAACCCGAACCCTAGCGTAATTGTGAATCATAATAGCAGCGGTCCACGAAGCATCTCAAGTTGAAGGTATCCGCCAATATTACTACGCCTGCAAAATTAATTACAGTACGAAAGTGATAAATGGCGACCGCCTACTGAAATTAATAGTAGTACGGAAGTGATAATTGGTTGACCAAACGGGCCCGCGTTTCCGAGACCTGATCTGATTGCAGGATAGACGTGAGGTCACCCGTTTGGACTTTGCTCTGTGAGTTTGCTGCCTGCAAATGCGGTCGCATGGTAACTAGGAGTCGATAACTAAATCTTTACCGGCGAGGACAGAGACGGGATTGAATCGGTCATTTTTGGCATATTTCCTGTCGTCATCCCATGATATCTCAGTCTCTGTGAGCCAAACGCCCAAGATTCGAACTCTGAGTCAGTCCAGCATTGAGGACGTCTCTCACCACTATGACAGCCGACTCGCGGGGAGGGGTAAGGCGTCATCCAATTGGCGACGGGCTCAGGATCTCAATTTCAGATGTTGGGCCCGAGAATGACGGTGACGCACGCAGACAAAGAGGGTACAGGCAAAGGTAAGGGAGAGTGTATTGATCAGTTCTGACTCATCAGCGTCGTTGGCATTCCCTTCTGAGAGATTGCTCTCCGTTATGAGTCTGTGTGCGGGATATTCGGTCGAGCCCCAAAGCACAACACGATGAGCAGGTTTCGTAACCCGATTAGAGAACACATTTCTAACCGATCGCAACCGACAGGACAATGAGCTTGTGGCCCAATGGTAGCAGCGCGTTAAATCTAGTGACGTTCAATTACCAAAAACCCTGCGTAAGAATTACAGATCGTTCGAATTGATTATGCATGGAGCTGGGCGTGGCTGACTGGTGACGGCTCGCAGGCGAGAAATGACCGTCCACGCCACATCTTTTAAAATAATGGCAAAACAGTGCACCTCATACTCTTTTCATAAGGCATAACACCAACTTCAAAGGTGTTTTTTAAGGAGATTGAATATGGAACCCCCGCTGTATGTAACTTCGGGCCAAGTTCCAGGGGTACCTATTCTCATGCCCTAGATTTATCTACAGCACTCACACTAACCCTGATCTGAACGCAAATTCCCATAGCTCATAAGGCAAAAAGGAAAGAGTAAGTTCCATAAGAAGGATCGGTAAGCGCCCCTCTACCATTGTATATTCCCGATCGAGACCGACAGGGCAACGGGCTCCTGGCCCAGTGGTTAGAGGCGTGGACTTCTATCTAACAGGTCGTGGGTTCAAACCTCGGCTGTTTCACACTTTGGCGTTGAGTAGGACTGGCTGACGACGGCTAATAAGTTAGAAATGGCCATTCCAGTATCCCTTGTCATTTTCGGTAATAATATACAAACTCCCATAGCCCTGAATCCACTGGAAGTTGGGCCAAAGTTACCTGTAATACGTAACGATTAATATCCCCGTGTTTAACATAGCGAGGCTAGTGGAATATTTTAACTACATACTGTGTGGACACCTACACTCGCGTCCGGGATCGAGAACCGAAAAGCCTCCCACCTTCAAGAGTTAGGCTTGAATGAAGCCTTGCATTTACAGAACGGATACGAAGAATGGGAATAAGTTACAAGCCTTGCAAGCCATTATGTCACACCTTCACACTTACTCGTCTTCAGTGCAATGAATACCCTGTAACAGTAGCGGCTTTATTATTAACGCGACTTAACCAATTAATGTTGGATACTTCTCAAACGGAAAATTTGTGGCTCGTAATTTGAAAACTTCAAAAGTAAATGCAAAGACAGGTGGGGAGCAGGATTACATGAGGTCTTATAAACATTTTAAAACCAGTAGAGACCTTTACGTCCAGTATAAAATTTGCAAAAATCTGATTTAATGCCTAAGATACAGAAAGAATGTTTTTCTCATTTTTCTGAAAACGATATGCAAACAAATGGAAAAAGTTCATACTACCTGAGTGATTATTTTTAACGAGAGTGATATTTACAAACAAATGGTAAAACCTTGGTGTGACTGAAATATCTTAGGATAACGCTGCAGGATAAGCAATTTTGCAGTCTCACCCGAGTAATTTTTATAATGCAAAAACAAATTTTTTGAATTCCTGTTAAAATTCCGTGAGATATGCTACTAGATCTACATCATGGTCAGGGAGCGCATGAGGACGCAAGGACGACTGAAGTTGAGTGTCTTGTGGTACCAATATATGTCATTTCTTCAAATCGATATACTGTGAGCAGTGGGAGTATTCGAGGAGGTGGAAAACACTGTTTTGAAGAAGGATACACGAACGCTGGGAAAAGAGCTTTATTTGCTTGACGTTTCGGATTCCTGCTCGAACCCATTATCCAAGAAAATAGCAGATACGGACGTTTGATGCGGAAGACGATGCAGTCGCCATGCTACTGCATACCTCTTAATATTCACGGCTCCCCCCCCCTTCATCAGGGATCGTTGCACTTGGTGTACTGACTGTTTGATGGCCGCCATCTGCGTCGTCAATTGCTGCAATTTCATCGCTTGCGATCATAGGCAGGCGGTAGCATGGTGACTGCATCTTACAAATACTGCAGCCCTTTGTGCATGAACCACCCTTATCTGCTTTTGTCTCTGAATCTGAATCTTGATCGGTGGACGCAATTTCGGTACCGTATGTACAGTGAGTGACTGATCTCATTAAATGTTGGCTGAAATTCTGCAATGCGTTTTCGATTAGGAAAGATTAGTTGGTCGCGGTTGTAATACAGATTATCTTTAGGAATACTCTTATAACATTTTGGACTCGGCTGGATGTCGGCTTTTAAATGCACTTCTTTTCAATCTCCTGTAGAAAGCGTGCACGGTAAAAAATTACTACTTATGTAGCATGCGTTTTTCCCATTGATTTTCGATGGTCTTGCAAATTCAAATATATTTTATAGAAACCATAAACAAAAATATGCTTTCTTTTAGTCAATCAATAGAGAATCACGTCTTCTTTATATTTTATTCTTAAAGTAGGAGTATAATTTGGTTTCAAAAAAGTTTCCAATTATGAGACTTTTTAAGACCGCAGAATGTCCATTCACATAGCATTGTACCTGGCCGTTTACCACTGCTCCTCATGAAATGTACAACATAGTCAGCATCCATTGCAAAATTTTATGGACTCTGTATGATATCTCTTTAATGGCATAGAAAAATATGTGAGTTTCTTTACGCGAAACGCAGGCACCTTGTAAAGTGAAATCACTAAGTGCTAATGCAACGAATGATCAGGCTCCAAATTATTCGGCAATTAGAAAACTTTTTTAAAACCTAATTATACTTCTTCCTTAAATATAACATATAAAGAAGACGTGATTTTCTACAGATTGGCTAAAAGAAAGCATATTTTTGTATATGGTTTCTATAAAATATACTTGAACTTCCAAAACCATCGAAAATCAATGGGAAAAATGCATGCTACTGAAGCAGTCATTTTTTACTACGCACGATTTCTACAGGAGATTGAAAAGAAGTGCATTTGAAAGCCGACATCCTGCCGAGTTCGAAATGTTATAAGAGTATGCCTTAAGATAATCAGTATTACAACCGCGACCAAGTGATCCGTCCTAATCGAAAATGCATAGAATTTCAGCCAACATTTCATGAGATCGGTCACTCAAATTGTCTTTTGAATTCTTCAATGGAAATTTTCGCATTTTATAGTGTCAGTACATCCAAGTCCAAAACAGACACTCTAAAGTGCCTTTAGCAAATCTCTTCTCTCACATGGCAGTTATTTTGAAAAGGAAAATTGTTGATGGTTTCCAAGCAGATAAACATGTTTGAGCCGGGGAGTAGAAGATTGCCCCAACCAATAGGCAGTTCCTTGCCTACCGCGGAAAGGAAATGATCTGCAGACAGGGTTTCTCCTCTCCCTGTTTCATTTCATTCCCTTCAAAGTGAATGGGAGTGGGAAAAGAGCGAGCAATTTCAGCATAAAGAGGACACACAATCTCCCATCTATCAGACGGCCACGCCCCGAGGACTAGAAGGGGGACAGATCGGAATTTCTTTTGGAGCAGTTCTTGTGGAACTGTGTCCTCCCCCACCCCTGTTCCCATGTGCTTATGCAGGACTAAAAAAGGAGCGCGTTATTTTGAATCACAAAAAAAAGTTTGGGTTGGAGGAGGTGGCTGAAATATTTGCAGTCTGCTTTTGGTGAGACACACGGAAATACGTGTCCCTCGTGATAAATTCCAGGCGCACTTAGTCCCGTATCTTTACCCTTCCGGAGTGCGTGTTTATTTCTGAGGTCCTGTCATGTTTTTGTACTTTCTTGTCTGGAACACAAATTTAGGTGACTCCAAACGCGGCAACATGTTACCGAGGAATTGGTGTTTCCCGCTCATTTGTGGAGAAAGCCGCAGCAATGCTCGGAAACGCAGCCCTGCCGGAAAATGGTAAAGCCCGGGCGTGGCCGATATGGGAGCCGCAGTAAGAGAGGCTGTACGAGGGGGGCGGCTGCGAGAAAACAGTGAAGAATGTGCGCATATACTTAATCCTTTCCTGATTCGAGGAGATCTTCTGTTGGTCTGTTGCGTCAAATGACGGATGAGGCGTTATACTAGAATCCGAAGTGGTTCCTGTGATAATGACTGCTGTTGTAATGTGATTTTTAAAAACATTCACGATTCATACCTGATTAATTCCTCAAAGAATCCGCAAGAATCTCCAAGAAAACTGCATTAACTGAACTCGATCTGAAAGATTTTGTATAGCGCATGAGATTGAGTCTCTGTAGAAGGAAAGGTGGTGCTTCAAAATGGTGATCCATGTGCATTTTAGGCCTAATCGAGTTGGAAATTGCTCAGTGGATTGAGTCGCCACGCGGGACCCTCTACTGGTCAGTCAGTCAACTTCCCGGCCACGTCAATTTCGTAGCCAGAATCATCATTGCTACCTTTTCAGACAAAGTGAGTTGCGTATATTTCAGAAAAATTAGAGTTTTTTGCCTCCTTGAAAGCAAAGTAACTTCTAGAATTTCTATGCAATGCATGTGGAGTACGGTAGGCTTCGTGTGCAAAAACGCAGAATTTACCGACGCAGTCTATCCGGTTTATCACTTACCACCTATGCGAGGGATGATTCGTGTCTGATTTTATATAGGCGAAGGTTTTCTTTTGGGCCATTGAAAGCAGGAGGTACTTTAGAAAGAATATTGATGTAGTCCATGCTCTGGGTTACTCACACATCTTAGGATTCCTACAACGGACGATAGAGAACGCACGATGCATGCTAATATCCCTAACTTTGTTCGGACTACTGGTAAGTTGGGTTATGTCCGCGTTGGGCATCCAAAACTCCTGAAACTTTTGCGACTAAGCATGCAAGTAGAAAAAAAGACTGAGAAACTTGAAGGAATATGTGTGTAGGAGCATTGCATGTGGTCAAGTAAATGAATTCAGAAACGTTGACGGAGCTTGCATTCACCGCCCTCATGCGGGTCTAAAAAAACAGGTCCATCCATCTTCGCACTCTGGCGGACGTAATTTCAACTTATTTCCTATATTAAGTAAGTTTTCACCATCAGCGACGGCAGGAAGTAGTTGTTGAATTTTCATAAAATGTAGATTAACAATGAACCCCACTGTAATTTGCTGTCAGTCAAGACTGTCACCCCCCCCCCCCGGGGCCACAATAATGAACTAATGGCTATCCCAGTGATTACGACGACAGTTAGACAATCGTAAATGACGGCAACTTCCACCGCTGTTTTACGAGGTGGTCCGGTCGAGGTGCCTTGCATTTAAAAGAGTGTGTACTGAAGTAAACTTCCACAGCATCTACCTCACTAACTCCTCCCCCAGCCACTTTTCCCTGGTAATAAGGAAGCGTTAGGGTGTTTGGTGTTGACGTGGGTGTAGGGACTGACAGGACCACAGAGTCCGACTACGTATGCCTCAAACAGGACGCTGACGTCAATTTACTTGTACTAGGATTCAATAAATAAGGCCACCGAGGCCAATTTGAGGGAACCATTGGAGTCTTGAGAGTGAACGAGTCGTTCCGTCAACTGGCACCTTTTCAAGCGCGTCATACTGATTATAGCGAGGAGTTCGTTAATTTGCCGTGAAGATTGATTCCCCCAGTGTGCCAACTCGCTCTTCCCCTCTCCTCTCTTCTCTCTGATATGCACTAGTGACTTTTCTGAATCAGGCTGACTATGGATGGAATTAGACCTGGTGGCTAACAAGGCTAAATAGAGCGTCGACGCGTATCAAGCACGACCTGACTTCCACTTTAGGGATATGTTTGCACGTTGATGTACGTTGGCACGCACGCATGTACACACACACGCGCATTCAAATGGATATGCTAAATAAGAAAAACCCTAAATGTTTGTCTTGGGGATTAGATGGCCACATGTTTGACCAAATATTTGAGCGAAAAACTTATCTTGATTACCGCCTCCGCGGCTTGCTGCCATTAAATTTTACAAACGTCATGCGCTCTTGACAGACTACAGGGTCTGAAATGTACAATTACGGGAGGATCGTTGGCAGGCAGATATGTTTTTCAGGAAATTCGAGTTTCACCGCTGTTCCTGCTAAATAATACGCCATCATATTGGTCTTGCTATGTAACGTTAAACTATCATATTTTTTTTAGGAAAACGGGACACATGCGAGTCAAAATTAACATTAGCGCGAAGGCAAATGACGGGTTACTTTGCCTGTAATAGCCTTCAATTAAGAACTAAATCCAACTCCAAAGAAGGAGGAACTGAACTTGTATAAACCCAATAGTGGCCGGTGAAATCACTTTTCAGACATTCCTAGTAAAATCTTGATCACACGCAGAGCACGAGAAATTCATGAGAGAAGAAAAACAGGAACAGCAGTTGCCCCTCCTGGATGTGCTTGCCAGACGAAACCTTAACGGTGAACTTGAAACGACAGTTTATAGAAGGGCAACGAACACCACACAGATTCTCAGTTTTCACAGCAACGATCTGGTGGCTCACAAACGAAGCTGTGTGAAGACGCTTTTCAAAAGGATCCAAACTCGTTGTAGCTAACCGGAGGACAGAGCACGTGAGGCCCGTTACCTCCGACACCAGTTTGTGCAGAATGGCTATCCGAGAGCATTCAAAAGTCGCTGCCCACGCGGTCGCCACCAGAGAACTCGAACATCAACGCCACCGACGATATGGCATTCTCTACCATACATCAAGGGCGTTTCAGAAGCGACCGAGTGCATTGCTGCGGAGCTAGGTGTTGGAATTGCACACCGCTCCAAAGCTGCCTTGTGCAACAGGGTCTTGAAAATCAAAGACCGGTTAAAGCCTGAGTAGCAATCTGGAGTAATTTATCGCATTCCGTGTCAAAATTGCCCTTGTTACTACACAGGAAAGACTGGGCGCATGCTCGGATCGCGCATTCATGAACACAAGCTTGCTGTGCGACGAGGCGACGCATTATCGCAAGTGGCCGCACACATCTACGAAATGGGTCACGAGTTTAACTTCGAAGCCACCACAAAAGTCGCGAAAACGAGAATCAAAACAGGCCGAGAATTGATTGAAGCCTGGACCTCGGATTTGAACTCGGTCAATCGATTTATCGATCTGGCGCCGGCGTACAGAGTCCTGCGCAGTCAACTCCAGTCTTGCGGCGTCGGCCGATGATTGATTTACATGCCCTATAACTGTCGCTTGTTCTGTTGCTGCTACTTCCTCTGACGATGGACTCCTGTACGAGTCTGAAAGCTCCGAACAATAAACAAAGTGTTCCGGTGCCCGACTCTTCTTCTTCACTTAAATTCCTTGTTACAGTTTTTTTTCTCGGACGTCCATTTATGGCCTGCATGGTCGGGGTAAAATAGATCCAAGTATTTAAAAATAGTTTTCATTTTAAAAAATCTTCTAAAAGCGGCTTCTTCTTGAGGATTTTTAACCAGACTGACATCTATCCTTGTTCATGCGCTCGGCCAAAGTTTCAGAAAGAATGCCCACTGTACGAGGATCCCCACCGTCCGGCGCAGGAATTAACGCTCAGGCTAAAATCGTGGGTGAAACAGGCTGATGCTGCCTTCCGCAGTCGATTGACGGGCCGGTCGCACGACATCGAGGACATTTTACTGAAGGTACGTCAACGTTTTTGCCTATCTGATTACAAAATACGAAGAAGAGTGTACGGTCATACAGGGTTCCATAGAGACTATAACCTCTTGTCGGTGAACACTTCTCAAGTACTGATCGTTAATCGCCATGTGTCCGCCTCAGCTAAGGGGATGAACTCGGATCCATCTCGCAAGCGGAATGGATAACTTCAGCTTATCCGCCTGTGATGGGAGTCTGTTAGTGTACAGCGGTAAGAACGTTGCTCGATGATCATCCGACCTGAAATCCGAATCTCAAATGTTCGAAATGAGTTTTTTGCCGGCTGATAAACAAGTCTCGTCCCTGTTCTTGTTGGTAGGATGTCTGGATCAAATACAGGTTGTCTGGAATTCTGGAATGATTTTCTAAATGATCACGCGAAACTGCCTAGCCTAAATCATGCGGACAGGGAGAAAGAAGGCTGGACTTACTATCTCAGGATTACTTGCCGTTGGCCGTCAATCACGGACAATGGAAGAGGGGAGCGTCCAGCGGCCGGGTTACGCATCACACTCGTTGAACAAAGTGCGCGGGACCTAGGTCCATGTGTCGCAAAACCCAGATTTAAGTAGGGGCTGGTTGCTGACGGCTAATAAATTAAAATGCTGTCATCCAAGTGTCCCTTGTATTTTTTCATTAATTTGCTTTTGTCTTCCTACTACTCCGTTGTTTCGGCATCCTGCCGATAGCGATCGTGAGTATTTATCGACGTGAAATCCGCACCCCGTTCACCACCTCCGGCCCGACTGCATGAAGGAACTCGCCTCTTCCTTTTCTTGTCTTTAAATTTGTTGCGCAACGACAGTCAATTCGAACAGAAGGAGTACTGACAGCGACGGAGACAATTGGAATGATCGATTTAGATAAAGTAGTCGTCGTTCGTCAGCCATCCCCAGCAATCGGAAGCCCGAACACGCGCTTTGTGGCCATTTAAACTTGTGCCATGATCTCAGCCATTCATGTGCGAGTGCTCGTCATCCCGCCTATGGCAATCGGAGAAGTAGCTCGCGTAAAGGAGATTTTCGATCAGTCCGTGCGCAGTGCCGCCTTAGTGCTTCCGCTTGTTCTGCCTGTCCATATTGAGACCTGTGGGGGATTCAGATTCACTTTTAGGGAAAAAAAGGACACAAACATGTGTTTTTCGCACCCATTCGTGTCGTTTCCACTGAAGCATAAGCTACAGATAAGTCGTGCAGCGTAGCACGCCAGCCTTCAGTTAAAAACTCCTTCACAATCCGGAAGACTACCCAGTCATTGCCTCCTTCATCTGCAAACCTTTTGTTTTCACATGTATAACCATGACGAGAAAATCAGAAATATTCTGCTATTAAAATGCCTCCGCGGTTGAGGTGTGTTTTGAAGCGCAATTTAGGTTCCTGATGTTTTCCAGTTTATCCGAAGAGATGTTTGGTGGAACTATGAAATTCTTCATCAGGCCTTTGCGGAGAGAACTCATGCCATGTCCATACTATCGAAACGAAGCTCAATAGTTTTATAAGTAAGGTTAACATTAGTACCGTCTTAGACAGTTAACATAATAGTACAAACTTCATGACAATCGCCTATGAACAGCATTTTAAAAAGGAAGTGTTTTTCCTTTTCAGAGTCTTTTTTAAGACGTTAATTTTTCCGTAAAAAGGCACAAAATGCAACTTTTAAACGACATTTATTAAAAACTGTTAACGCATTTAAAGGGACATTAAAAACCAATGAGAAATCATCCACCAGTGTTAGAAATCTCCACAAAAAGTTGAAGAGCTACCTAACATGCAGTGACTTGGTGTTGTGCCCACAATTACAGAATATTTCAGCCCCACCCAGATTATAAATTTGGATTTACAAGACATTTGTTTGATCCTATTTTCACAAACTATATCGAAAACTTTAAATAAATGTGAATTCTGGCCGCAATGTCTTAGTCTACAAGTTGTAGAGAGCTTTACTTCGATCCTGTACCACGCACGTTTCCATAACGACTACCAGGACCAACAAATCTCTGACTTTCAGGTTCAGACTTTGGATAATTTTTGGCGCTCCTACAAATTTGGCCATGCCTTGGAGAGATGACACTAGCATAGCGATCTCAGGTGGATTCGAACCCACGACAGCATGAGGAAGGTTTTGATACAGCTAGCGCTCTTCGTCACAGAAAAAACACCTTGTCACATATATAGTGCTGGGAGTTGCCCAAATTCTATCGCACTTGTGGCATATAGTGTTGGTAAAACTCCGGCCATTAGACTACAGAATTGACCGCACAGCAGAAAGAATATAAGAAATTAGTAAGCAATGCGTCCTTTCTGTTAAGGATGACTAAAGTTCTGCCGGTGACGAAAAAAGATAACCAAACCGCAGAATTTTTCGCGTGTTATCTCCCCAGGAGACAGGTAAAATTTCTACCTAGAAACCTGCCTGATACCCGCTGTTACTCAACTCAGTACTACTTGCCGCGTTTATTAGTAGCAAGTCCATCGCACTTAGTGCTTTCAAATACGAATCATACTTTTGATCTTAACCAGGGTTCTATTTGGTTCGGTGCCCACTTGGTGTGAAGGACGTAGTCGACAAGTGAGTTAATAGTCTGAATAATAAAAGTTAATACTCAAGAAACGCCATAACTCTGGGACTCAAACTCATAACTTCAAGGCATGTTGCTAAGTGGAGAATGCTTTGCTCCTTTTCGGCCCCCCATGCACCAATTAAATCTGTAGACTGGCCGACAGATAGGAGTTCAGCAGTCACATCATTTTTTAAAAATGACAGAGTCATTCTGCTTGTCGATGACAGGCCTTTAAAATTGTTGAGCAAAATTATGCCTCAACACGCAAGTAGTGAATTGTTGGACCCAATCACGTCCAGCGACAAAGGATCGCGAGTTTGATACCGAAGCGCGGCAAATTTGGGATTGGATATGGCCGGATGATGACGGCTAATTCGCCAGAAACTCGCGGAAATTCTGATCTCCCCCACCTTTGCGGGCACTCTTCATTTGCCTGCAAGGGCCGGAAGTACAACGGGACGCGTAGGTCTTGTAACCGGATTGTTGGACACACTTTCAACCTGTATTCAACGGTCTTCGAGACAATAACCTTACTTTGTGTCCTTAGGTTACTAACTGGCATGTAGTTTCGGATTCGCCTTTGAATCTCCTAATCTTAGTTTCCCTGTCAAACTGTTGTTGTGATGACCTATTCTTTGGAAGGCATGCATTCTTGCACTCGATTTGGGACTGCGGAACACTGCCTATAAAATAATTGGCTGCACTCAATAGCATAAACGTACATTAATTATTCAGACTCTTGGGACTGATTTGAGTCTGTTAAAGAGTTTTTCAATGGAAAATACTGTTTGCTTATACTTGCACCATGCATAATTTAGATCCCCTGTATAAGTATCGCTCAGAGCATACTTTTTAAAAATATTAGCATAAATACATGTTTAATGAAGAAAACGATCGAATTTTCTCTTTCAGTAACCATTTGGACAAGATGGCTTAAGAAACGTTATTGATATTTAATTAAAGTTTTATTGCTTGCAGGAAATATTTTTAGTAATTCCTAGAGATGCCTTACCACTTGCGACCATATACCTAAAAAACTGGTTTTGACATCGGTTTCCGACTCTCATAGGGTAGCGGCTTATATGTGCAAAATCAGACATGTTCCGCTAGCACTAAAAAGGCCCTGCATGCCTTAACTCGGTTATTCAAAACAACAACTTTGAGTGCATATAATTTACTAATGTACTTCAGTTCCAAAGCACCGCGTTTCTCAAAATCCAGTATTAGGAAATATTTGCTTTTTACGCAGGTGTTAATTTGAAAAAAAACAGAATAAATGTGTGACCTGACAGTTTTGAGTCATTCATTTTGACCTGACTTTTGAAAACTCAACCACTCGAGAGAATTAAAACTCAGGATCGCAAGAGGAGGCTTCCGTACAGCCAATGATCTATCCATCTGAGTTACGAGGCCCCACAGGGAGACGCGAGTTTAAGCAAATTTGGACCAAATTACCCGAGTTATTCACAGCTGGATTAAAATGATTTAGTCAAAATCTGCCAAAACATCTATTAAATACGTGAGCCTGGTAGTCATTTTGGGGATTCTAAATTGACTACTTTGGAAGTCCTGCATAGGCAGTCAACTTTTTCAGATTGGAAAAGTTGAGATATCCGGGTTGATTAATTGAAGACGAAGACAGGCTCTCCGATTGTACCTTGTGAACCAATGGTTATCTCGGGCATTTCATCGAGAGAAGCAGACGTTGGGCGCCCTGACAACGGCCAAATGAGCAGCAACCCGAAGTCTGGAGGGCCATTCCTTACGTTAAAGGGGTCTCTGAAGCGGTCACGCGACTGTTACAACCCACCAGAGTAGGCATAGCCCATCGACCACAAGCAACAATTAGACGTCGCCTGATGCAACCTAAAGACCCATTGCCACCCGCTGAAACCTCAGCAGTCATCTACAAAATAAATTGCAATGAGGACGACTACAACTATGTGGGCGAAACCGGGCGGAAGTTGCAAACTCGCCTACAAGGGCACAAATCGGCCACTCAAAGGTTAGACCCTAACTCTCAACTAACAACACACGTTGGAGAAGCGGGGCATACTTTTGACCTCCAGAAGGCTACCATCTTAGGCCGAGGCAACACAAAAACAGAACGGCTAACTCTCGAGGCGTGGTTCTCCGATGCCCATTCTATCAACAGGCATCTGGACCTTCCTGCAGCTTACAAAGTCCTACGTCATCACAATCGTAGAGCTCAGGACCAAAAAACCACATCGGACATAAGAAGGCCGCACGGAGTTAGCCCGACGCTGAGTCTACTCGGTGAGGAAGAACAAGAACCGCCAGACCGACCGCCCGACAGAGATTCACTCAGCTGCCCTCGACGGAGTGGTGACTCACAAAGCACACAGGCAAAACGCCCGTCCACCATCTCCTGAGAGGCTGAGGCAGCGAGAGGCGAGAAAAATCGATCAGCATAAGGCCGACCAACACAAGCTGCCACTTTAAATTAAACTTCTGATCGATCAAGTGCATTTTTCGCTTTGACAACGAAGAGCCGACCCAGCTCTTTGAAACGTCAGCACTTAAATAAATCTCTTCCGGAGAGCCTGTCTTCGTCTTCAGTCAACTTTTTGTATCAGATTTGGTGTTGCTACAATACAAGGTTGGGCCCATAACTTGTTGCATGTGTGATTAAACTCACAACTCGCGGTGAGGACTCGTGGCTCACGTGGCTAGAGCATTAAGTGTACTCAAGCCTCTCCTCGCTGTCAAGGGTTCGAATCCCACCGATATACCGTGTTTTTCACATTTGGCTCAAAATGAAAGACAGCATTTTCAGTTATCGCAAATGACGCAGATCACGGAGCAGGTGTAGATTTGTGAAAATTCCCTTTACCCCAGAAACCGGTACAAAGATCTCACTGAAAGCACCACACCAGGAATTAATGACTTTCAGTTAACTGAAAGTAAAAGACTTAGTGGACGTAATAGTAGGCTAGTTAAAAAGAACGAATTTCTAAAGAGGAGGTGGAAATACGAATGCTATTATATTCGAGTGGGGAAAGAAGGATCAATTTTCAAAAACACGAAAATTCTGTTTATAAAAATGATTAAATAAATAAAACGGCAAAACCGAAATAATGATTCACGGTAAGTAACTGCCAAAATTAGCCCAGTATGCGGTACGGCAGCCAGTAATCTCCCGATGTTTTATCGCGTGCATTGGAATTATATCACGAGAATTTAATAAAAAGCTTTCCGTTTCCGTGCTTTTGACAACGTGAAGGTGGTTTCGCTTGACTTTGCGTCAAATGGGCAAACGATTTAACAGGGTCACATACCGACCTGTCACCTGTCAGAGAATAAAAAATTCCGGAAATCCCAACGTGGTTTTTGTTGACTGTGACGTTCGCTGAATTCTTTTGCGTCCTTAAAATGTCAGTGTTCACAGTCGACGTTGTAAAATGGCATGTTATGCAGTTTGTGTTTATCAAAACCTCTTCTTACATAGGACGTTCGCAGACATTTGTTTCCATACATATTATGGGTTTGGTTGTATTTTTAGACTCACACAAACGAGAAGCATAACCAGTATGGGATGCTGAGTTCCACGAGAGAGAAATTGTGATGAAAATGATCTTGATCTATCTAAAAAATCTCTACAAACGTGCGCAACTACTAGGTAAAATGCACAAATATTCGCTGTGCTCCGACGTGATTACGCAAATTTCCGCCTTTATACAGTATGTGGGCTAACTCATGAAATCTCAACAGAAACTCCGAAATGCGTTTCCGTTTCGAAAAGATTAATAAAGTAGGGTTGCAAAACCAATCATCATGCAGCATAATTCTATAGTGATTCAGTTATGGCAGGAGGCCGGCTTTCGAACAACGTTCTTTTCGGCTGTACCCAAAAGCCATACTCCGTAAGAAATGGCCACTTAAGTGGCATGCATTTTTTTGTTGATCATCGATGCCCTTAAAGATTCAAATATATTTCATGAAAAAAATGCATAAAAATATTCATTCTTTTGCTCATTCGGTAGAACATTACGTCCTCTTTTAATTTTACACTCGAAGAAAGGTTATAATTTAGTTTTATAAAACTTTCCTAATTCCCGAATAATTCTGAATCCGACCTGCCGCCACACTTGCGTTCAGGATTTCCAAACTACAAGACGTATAATTTCCGCGTACGGAAAACAATACATTTATCTACGGTATTAAGAATAGACGATAGGAGGTTCATAAAAGTAAGCAGTCGATTTGAGCCACATTGTTAACTTAACAAACCCCATTGGTAAATGCAGAGACATGACGTTTTATAAAGGGCCATTCGACCGTATTAAAAAATATCACAGTTAGAAGCTTGTTAAAACCGAATTATACCCTTCCTTCGAGTATAAAATAGTAAGAAGACGCAGTTTTCCACTGAATGAGCGAAAGAATGAATATTTTTATGCATATTTTCCATGAACCATAATTGGATCATTAGGGGCATCGAAACTCAATGATAAAAATGAATGCTACATAAGTAGTTATTTTTTACGGAGTATGGATTTGCATGCGGCCGGAAAGAAGGTTATTCGAAAGCCGGTGTCCTGGGGTAACTGAGTTTTTACAAAATTATTCTGCACGAGGATTGGTTTTCCAATCCTACTTAATTAATCTTTTCGAGACGAAGACGCATTTCGGAATTTCTGTTGACATGTTAAGAGTTAACCCACCTACAGTAGATGCGCTAACTCAAGAAATGTCAAACAAAATTTCGTAATGCGTTCTCGTTTTGAAAAGATTAATTAAGTAGTGTTGTAAAACTAATCATGATGCAGCATAAATCTATAATGATCCAGTTACCTCAGGCTGTCGGCTTTCGAAGGAACTTATTTTCGGCTACATGCAAGATCTATACTCTGAAAAACTTACTACTTAGATAATATGCAATTTTCTCATTGATTTTCGATGCCCTTGAAAATTCAATTATATTTCATGGAAAACATGCATGAAAATATTCATTCTTTTACTTATTCGGTAGAAAATCACGTCTTCTTCCAATTTCATACTCAAAGAACAGTATACTACGGTTTTAAAAAACTTTTCTAATTCCCGAATAATTTTGAACCCGACCTGCTCTTACACTTGCATTCAGGTTTTCAAAACTACAAGCTATATATTTTCCGTGTACGGAAAACCATGCATTTCTCTACGGTGTTAGGAGGAGACTATATGAGGTTCATAAAATTAAGCAGTGGATTTGAGCAACATTGTTAACTTTCCAAGTTACATTCGTAAATGCAGATACATGACGTTTCATGAACGACCACTAAACAGTATTAAAAATCTCATAATCAGAAACTTTTTATAACCGAAGTATACTGTTCTTTGAGTATGAAATTGGAAGAAGACGTGATTTTCTACCGAATAAGTAAAAGAATGACGATATTTATGCATGTTTTCCATGAAATATAATTGAATGTTCAAGGGCATCGAAAATCAATGAGAAAATTGCATATTACCTAAGTAGTCAGTTTTTCAGAGTAAAGATCTTGCATGCAGCCGAAAATAAGTTCTTTCAAAAGCCGACAGCCTCAGGTAACTGGATCATTATAGATTTATGCTGTATCATAATTAGTTTTACAACGCTACTTAATTTATCTTTTGGAAACGAGGACGCATTTCGAAATTTTGGTTGACATTTCATGAGTTAGCACATCTACTGTATTGTATTTCATGGGTCAAGCCACTCGCTACACATACGGTAAGGGACAAATAAAATTTATGTAAAATGAAGCTTCAAAAGGCTATGGTCCTGCATTGAAATTCCTTATCGACTGTAGCATACTGCTCATGTATCCCTATGCAGCAGGTCCCAAAGGATGCGCCACCTTAGGGCAATGTTCTAAACTATCCGAATTGCCAGCCAAACCACTGTACCTAACTGCCAGTCAAGGAGGCACGCGGTAAGACCACTGCCAAGCAGACAGCGTAGCTCCGCCCACCAGTTAGGTAAACATGTCCTCTACGCGTACGGCCAGTCACTCATGTGTAACTGGCCTTCCACGGTCCCAGAAGACGGATCCCTATAGGGTTCCGAAGACTCGGACAGATGCAGCATCTGGTTCGAGCTTCAGAGGTTGCAAAACCTGGGGATTGATGTATGACTGGCTGATGGTTGCGACTGCTGGCGGAGCTCTAGACCGAACTCCAGGCACAAGGGTTAGAACATCCCACGTAACGCTACCGATGAGTATCCCTCTGGTCGCGGGATCGAGTCCCGGGTGTTGCGCACCTCGGGGTAGGGTACGGCTGAGAGACTGGAAATAGCTGATAGAAGTGAACAGGCGAGTTCCAAGAAGCAGTTCAGAAAAATGAGATCACTAGAACAATAAGTTTATTGGCCTGACGTTTCGGATGTTCACTCGAATCCATCATCTTAGACTGCCTTTGATAATGAGTTCGAGTGAGAATCCGAAGTGTCAGGCCAATAATCTTCTTGTTCCAGTGATCGCATCTTCTTTTTACGAGGCTGGAAATAGTCATTCCAGTCTGCCAGTATCGGGTTTATTTATCGTAATCTCTTCCTCCCTTACCACAGGGACTCTTGACACACTTATTCACTCTTCTATTCTGTGCAGTTTTTTTATCTCAACAGTCGATGTAAAAGTTTCCGCTACTGTTACATGGGCTACAGTCCCCTAATAACTCACTCTCATCTCCCACTGAAAAATTGTAAACTTCTGCCTTAGGAATTTCTGACGCCGTTGTCACCCTGGGAATTGCGCGGAGGGAGCCCTGTTACCACTCCGCTCTTATACAAGCAACGGTAATTTTACAGAAAATTCTCGTCCACACGGTGGCGAGTCCCTTTCTCGGGTTCCCTTGTCCACCTGTCAGCAGTACTGATAGTGAGAAGCATTTTAATTAAAGCATTAGCTCCGCATCGATCAATAAATGTCAGACGCCTGGAAAAGCAGTAGTAGTAGTAGTAGTAATTGTAGTAGTAGTAGTAGTAGTAGTAGGTTAGGCCTTCAGCGCGAACGAATTCTTGTAAATCGGGAAGAATGACTGCCGCAGTCCGTATAGGCCTATAGTGCCCTATTTATCCGTTGTCCATGAATTTAAATAAGCAAGACTTTGACTGTCTAACATGGCTCTACACGAAAGGACCTCAAATGTGACAGCTCCAAGGAGACCACCAAGACTGAGAATAATTCAACCTTCTGAGTGGAGTTCACTGGGCTATTTTGATTGTAATTTCAGAAGCCGCCGGATGGTAGGATAACCTTTTTCCATCCTCAAGTAGAGCTCAAATGGAGAGGATCTTATAGAGACGCTTGGAGCATAGTCACTGACGTATCCCATGCTTGTGGCTAGAGGGGTTAGCTTAAGTAGGTTTGTAGTATTTGTTTCCTTGTAGCATAATTTCAACGTATTTCAGTCACGACGTTTGAATACATACACTTCCGACCGCTTGCAATAATTTCTCAATGATTTTGTGTTTTCATACACATCCAAAAATATTTTGCAAATAGCATGCTCAAAAGTATCCTTCTTTATGTTAATTTTGTAGTAAAGCACAATTCCTTTTAATTTTCTACCCAAAAGTATAGTCTTTGATTTATTGAAGTGAACGATTACGGCATTGTTTAAAACCGTTAAATTACCAAACAAGTACCACCATATCTGTCCCTAATCATTTTAAAATGCTTTGAGTCTAGTAGAATGTATACTGCGCGTAACATGGAAAACGTAAAATAATCGGTGGCTTATAAACTGTACAAACTTTGATGGCATTTCAGCCAGGATTTTCACTTCTTTTTCTAAAGGGTAAAAATGCTCGACAAACTGACATTCCTTTTTCGTATGCTTCCACCTGGAAGCCTAATTGGAAGACTGGTGATCAAGACGTATATTCCGAAGCCACTTGCTTCATTGAGGCATGATGAATACTGATTGAGCAGTATTCTAACTAGTTGAATAAAGCAGTCTGAATTTCGATCTCTGGTCTACTTTGTAGGAATAAACCCCATATCTTAGAATGAGCATTGAAAAGTGCTTTCTCGGGCTAATTTTGCAGGATATTATGCTTTCTCCAAATGTGGTAACTTTAAAAATCACTTGTTTCGATTTTGAGAGGAAGTTTCAAATGCACGGGTATCTTATCTTTCACGCTCGCATCGCTAACAGTTCAACCGTCACAGACTATGTTGTCTACTGTGTGCTGGCGGACGCTGGGACGCTGAGATGCGGGTAAATTATTTGATAACAGACTTGTGCTGCATCTATCTCACACTACTTGTTTCCTCACCCACCTGAGCAAGGTGTCAAAACAAAGTCGAGAGGCCCGAAGGTGGCATCGGCGGCGTGGCTGGCAGAGTTAAACAGTCTGTCTACGCGTGCCATACATGCCTGGTCCGCGCACAGACAACAATGGCGGTGGGTGGCTCTGGCCACAACCGAGGTCACATTAATATCGAACCGATGAGTCGAACCGAACCCTCGCGTCGTTTGACACCCTTCCAAGGCACTACTCTTAGCACGATCTCGTGGGTCCGGGCGCTTTGTTGCTTTGTCCGCAACGGTACTATGGACCGGAGAAAGCGGAAGAGAGTTCCGAACGCGAATGGCCGAACACGTGTGCAGTGGTGCGGAGAAATGACGCCAGCTCCCAAGTTGCGGCTCATTGGAGGAGATCCGACCATATATTCAAATTCGACGAGGCCGAAGTTCTCACAAGAGGTAACAACCGCCTGAGCCGGGAGCTTCTTGAGTTATGGTTTACTGGCCCCCAGTCCATTAACAAGTGCAATGGTCTTCCCCTTCCATAATCAGTGTCGAGACTTCGCCTAGGCGGAGTTATTAGCCACGAGGGAAGCGCAAAGATGTGCACTCCTCCGAACGCCAGGGTCAGTGGATCAGATGGTCGAGCAATCACCACACGAACATCCAAAGCACGTGATGAAATTGCAGCAACTAACGACACGAATGTCGGCCATCAAACAGTCAACACTACAAGTGCAACGGTCCCTGAGAAAGGGAGATCCGTGAATATTCATACAGTAGATGTGCTAACTCATGAAATGTCAACCAAAATTTCGAAATGCGTTCTCGTTTCGAAAAGATAAATTAAGTAGTGTTGTAAAACTAATCATGATGCAGCATAAATCCATAATGATTCGGTTACCTCAGGGTGTCGGGTTTCGAAGGAACGTATTTTCGGCTGCATACAAGTTCTATACTCTGCAAAAATGACTACTTATGTAGCATGCAATTTTCTCATTGATTTTCGATGCCCTTGATAATTCAATTATAATTTATTGAAAACATGCATAAAACTATTCATTCTTTTACTCATTGGGTAGAAAATCACGTCTTCTTCTAATTTCATACCCAAAAGCAGAGTACAATTCGGTTTTAAAGAACTTTTCTAATTCCCGAATAATTTTGAACCCGACCTGCTGTTACACTTGCATCTAGGGTTTCAAAACTACAAGCTGTATATTTTCCGTGTACGGAAAACCATGCACTTCTCTAAGATGAGGTTCATAAAATTAAGCAGTGGATTTGGGCAATATTGTTAACTTCACAAGTCACATTCGTAAATGCAGATACATGACGTTTCATGAACGGCCATTTAACGGTATTAAAAAGCCTCACAATTAGAAATTTTTTTTAAAACCGAATCATACTCTTCTTTTGATTATGAAATTGGAAGAAGACGTGATTTTCTACCCAATGAGTAAAAGAATAAGTATTTTTGTGCATGTTTTCTAGGAAATATAATTGAATTTTCAAGGGCATCGAAAATCAATGAGAAAATTGCATGCTGCATAAGTAGTCATTTTTTGCAGAGTATAGAACTTGCATGCAGCCGAAAATAAGTTCGTTCGAAAGCCGACACCCTGAGGTAACTGGATCATTATAGATTTATGCTGCATCATGATTAGTTTTACAACACTACTTAATTTATCTTTTCGAAACGAGAACGCATTTCGGAATTTCGGTTGACATTTTATCAGTTAGCCCACCTGTTGTAGATCGGAAGAACTGAATCCTGACTGGAATGCTTAAAAATACCGTCGCGAGACAGGGCTGAGGTGTACTCAAAGCAATTGGGTAAACTCATGATCTAGGCGTAATTTAATGAAAGGCGCTAACCGGTCAGAAACCGGCCTTGACCAGAATTCCAACCATAATAATTTATCAGATTGAGTCCCAGAAGGAGCATTGACAATACTAGTACGTTGGTTACAAATAACAGATTTCTTAGGAAAACCGCAAACCTCCAAATTCTTGTCAAGTGAGTAGATTTGGTCTGCAGAAATAAATAAAAACCTGTCTAGTCAAATAAATCGTTAGATTAGACGACACAGGTTTTTTTGCGAGCATCTGCTTATTTTCGACAAAGTAACACAAGTTAACTAAACTAATTAAAAAAACGCGGGAAATTCGAAAATTTGAGTCGTATTCATCTTCCTTTCGACCAACTCGGCTCCCGCCGACACTAATATTACCAACGCGCCTCCGCCCACATTAGCCTTTATTACATGACTAGATTGATACTGACTGCCTCTAATTGTCCTTGTATTTTTGTTAAATATGAACATCCCTGGAAATTTTGAATTATCCAGATGTTTCAGTTAGCTTTATTTAGGCTCCGCCATGATGAGAATTCACCGGGGCGAAACGAATGCTTGCCAAATTGAGGCCTACATTCTGCTGTAAGGATTTTCGCGTCATCTAAACAGTGTGTGTAAAGTTATTTTTAACGCAAGTATTGCATAAATATTGATGTGATATGCAACACGTCAACTTACAAGATTTACGATGTTGATGTGTTTCGAGAAAGAAGTCAGTAAAATTCTATGTTTCAGGTATTGCATAGTTCTAGATGTATTTGACTAGGACGACGATTTTCTTGAATTCTTTTACAAACAAGTGATATACAGGAATAAGTTTATTAGCAAGGCTACATGTCATAGACAAAGAAATCGAAATATATGTAATTAGTACCTGCAACCACAAGGGCGACATTTCCTGTGGAACAAAAGAAATTTTTCTTGCAAAATCGTCAAGTGCTTCCTGGCGACAGTGGAGCCAGTTGAATTCCCTGACGTCCTTGAAGTGTCAGGGAATAATTTGAGCATTTCCGAGTTCTCATTTGACTTCCCGAAATTACAGACTGTGTATTTTGTGTCTGTAAAAGCCTTCTAAATCAGGCAGTCCTTAGAAGCTTTTGATGAGTTCTCGGAGGTTATTTTTCATGCAAATGAGGGGTTGGGCCGCATTTGTAGGCTCGCTTAATTATACTACATAATCGAGAAAGAAAATGAGGTTCAACGACAAACGTCTGCGTAGAATATGCCTTGAATCAACCGAAAGAGCTCCTATCAAATACCTTACAAAAATACTTTGTTGGGATATTTCACTGATGAAAAGCCACGTCCCTCACGTCTTTTTCAAAGTAGCGTCAGCGAAAAAATTAAAATAGTCTGTTTGCTACTGCTGAAAATATTTTCGCCATGAACAGCACAGCTATTATTTCAGTGTTTGCTCAAACCACTTTCCTCACAGCTGTTTGCATACACGTCCCTACTTACAACTGTAGATATATCACAGAATTGTTTAATAAATAATAAAATATTGCTCAACTGCCAATGTTCTGCCCCCTGGTATTACCAAACTACCTATTGTGAGGAATGTGACTGCACAAAATTATCCCAGCGTATGCTAAAAATCAAAATGCCGGGAAAGATGGGTCACTTGAGGGATACTTGCACGTGCGTGGAAATCGCTGGTACGTTAAAACTAAACACTGCCTTTAGAAGTTACTACTGAATTTTAGGACTTATATAAACTCATATAGATTTATTGATCGGCGCTTACAAAAGGGTAGACTCCGTTTGCCTGAGTATGGCTGTGTTATACACACATTCCCTAGCCAAAGTAAGCATTTTTAAGCTAGCGATGATAGGTTTAACAATGTTCTATGATAGATAAGCAGCGATGGTATAGTCTTAGAGTGTTAGCGGCAAGAGAAATGGTCTTAACAATGATCTTAACCCCAAATCATGGAGTCTTTCGTTGATAAAATAGCTTTTGTGCACGTTTCGTCTAAGAGCAAAGCCCCTTCCAAGCGAGGTATTCGGCTAAGCAAAATGTATAACGTTAGAAATCTCGTACATTTATCACGTAAGTCCTGATTGGTATGCTTCCTGCTTCTCTCGTTTTCATACTTGATCATTTTTTTCGTCTTCCCTAAAGGTACAAACTATCAAGCGGCTGTGGGCAGATGCAAGTTCGGCAATTTGTCATGAATCGCCTTATCTGTTTTCCTCGATGGCGACGGAGGATTCATGTTGGAACGGCACTGCAATCGGACCGTGAGTCATTGCTTCTGTGAGATAAAACTTGCACGCCACCTGATACAAGTATCAGGCTTTTCAGATCGTCTTGTAAAATTTTGGCAGTTTAATCTTAAGTAGGTCTTTCAGTGGCTCTTGGACTTGCCACTTGGACTTGACAACCGCGAAGACCCTCGTTCTCGGGAGTGATGTCTTTGACACCAGCCCACTCTCTGTGCATGCTTGTTTCTTGGTTAAATGTGTTTTCGGTCCTGGAGCAGAGACTTACACAAGCTGATGCATTTTGATCTTTCAAGTTCTGCCTAAGATGTTTTGTGTAAGCACCTTAGGGGCCTCAAGGATTGCAAGTGTCTGTTATGTCAGGTCCAGCGGACCATGGTTTGCAATGGCAGTTCTCTGGCATCCGGTTCTTTGCCAGTGGATGCGCTTGCGCCTCCGCTGATCGTGATCATGACTGCTCGCACATACTCTTCATCTTTCTGAATCGTTGTGATGCCGTGGTTGGCTAAAGTCGCTGGTCGTGCCAGTCACCTGCGCCTTAACCCTCGTCCTGGTTCCTCGGCTCTGAATTCGCACCGGGTCCAGGCGTAGAGAGAAGTCGATAGTGCGGTAGATGCTGGACAAATCTATAGTAGATGGGCTAGCTCATGAAATGTCAACCGAAATTCACAAATGCGTTTTCGTTTCGAAAAGATTAATTAAGTTGGGTTGTAAAACTGGTCGGCCTGCAACATAATTCTATAATATTTCATTTACCACAGAATGCCAGATTTCAAATGAATTTCCCTCCGGCTGCATGCAAAAACTACACTCTGTAAAAAATGACTACATATAGCATGCATTTTTTGTGAATGATTTTCCCTACCCTTTAAAACTTAACTGTATTTCATAGAAAACATACATAAAAATATTCATTCATCCGCACATTCGATAGAAAATGACGTCTTCTTCCAATATTGTACTCGATGGAAGGATATAATTCGGTTTTCAAAATCTTTTCCAATTCGCCAATAAAATTTAACAGTGGATTTGATCCATATTGTCAGCTTTACAAGCCACATTGGTAAATGCAGAGACATGACGATTTATGAACGGCCATTTTACGGTATTTAAAAATCCCACAATTAGGAACTTTCTAAAAGCGAAATACGTCCCTCTTTCGAGTTTAAAATTGGAAGAAGACGTAATTATCTATCAAATAAGCGAAGAAATGAATATTTTATGCATTGAAATATAATTAACTTTTTAAGGGTATAGAAAATTATCCGAAAAAAGCATGCTATTTAAGTATTCATTAAGTAGATAGTGTAGTTTTTGCGTGCAGGCGGCGGGAAGTTCATTTGAAAGCAGGCATTAAAAAGCCGTCGTTAACAGTGATCATTCTGGTAGTATGAACCTTCTCCATTTGTTTGCATAGCGTTTGCAGAAAAGTGTGAATAAATACTCTTTCTAGATCTCAGGCTGTAAATCAGGTTTTTTGCAAATTTTATACTGGAAGAAATGGTGCTTACTGGTCATATACTTCTGCTGCCGACCTGCCTTCGCATCTACTGTTGAAGTTGTCAAATTACGAGCCACTAATTTTCCGTTTGAGAAAAATCTAACGTTAAGTGGTTAAGTCGCGTTAATAATAAAGCCGCTACTGTTACAGGGTATTCATTGCCCTGACGTTGAATGAGTGTGAAAGGTGTGACATTATGGCGTCGAATGCCTGTAAATTACTCTCATTCTTTATATTCGTTCTATATATACAAATTGTCATTCAAACCTCAATCTTAAAGATGGGAGGTACTTTAGTTTTAAGTATATTGTCGATCCCGGACACGAGTGGAGGTGTATACACAGTATGTGGTTTAACTATTCCACAATCCTTGGTATGTTAAACACGGGGATATTAATCTTCCCGTCTAAATTTTTGTTCCAGGAAAGACAGTACAAAAACATGACAGGACTCAAAAATACGCACGCACTCCGGAAGGGTAAAGATACGGGACTAAGTGTCCCTGGAATTTATCACGGGGGACACGTATTTCCGTGTGTTTCACCAAAAGCAGACTGCAAATACTTCATCCAACTGAGGCCTTATTCTGATTCAAAATAATGCGCTCCCTTTTTAGTCCCGAAGAAGCACATGGGAACAGGGGTGAGGGGGCTTAGTTCCGCAAGAACTGTTCAGAAAGAAATTCCGATCTGTTCCCTTCTAGTCCTCGGGGCGTGGCCGTCTGATAGATGGGAGATTGTGTGTCCTTTTTATGCTGAAATTGCTCGCTCTTTTCCCATTCCCATTCACTTTGAAGGGAATGAGATGAAACAGGGAGAGGAGAAACCCTGTCTGCAGATCATTTCCTTTCCGCGGTAGGCAAGGAACTGCCTATTGGTTGGGGCAATCTTCTACTCCCCGGCTCAAACATGTTTAGCTGCTTGGAAAACGGCAACAATTTTCATTCTCCAAATAACTGCCATGTGAGAGGGCGATTTTTTAAATGGTCTTTTAAAGTTCAAAAGACAATTTAGCGAGCATATATAAGCTCTTTCATAAAATCTCCTCAGACCTGTACATTTAAGGTCCTATCGAAGTGATTAAAAAGAAAAGGCGAACAAGCGGAAGTTCATAATGCACACATCGCACACCGTATTACAAGCTTCTCAATACAGACCTCGTCGAATAATCGGTCAGCCGTCACGAAAGCTTTATGAAAACGAAATGTTTTTGGACTGAACGAGTTCCTACCTCAACGATGTCTCATATCACAAATAAAGTTAAATGAAGGAATTTTCGGAATATTAATCGAATTTAATCAAGCCCAAAATGTCAACTTTTGCAGGTGGTTGGAAAGACTGTTTTCTGCACTAAATCAAGACCGTATTCATTGGTAGTTGTCATTGTTGTGAACGTTGTATCGGTTGTCCTGGTACTAGCACGGTAGACAAGTAAAGAGTTTCATCTAATTTTAAAACTGATCGAGATTCTTTTATGACTTTTTGGACTTGGATTTACTGACACCATAAATTGCGAAAATTCCCATTGAAGAATTCAAAAGACAATTTTTTGTGCATACGTACAGTGAGTGACCGATCTCTAGAAATGTTGGCTGAAAGTCTAAAATGCGTTTTCGATTAGGAAGGATTACCTGGCCGTAGTTTTAACAGTGATTATCATGTGGCATACTCTTAAAACACTTCGGACTCGGCAGGATGTCGGCTTTTAAATGCACTTATTTTCAATCTCCTGTAGAAAGCGTGCTTGGTAAAAAATGACCACTTATATAGCATGCATTTTTCCCATTGATTTTCGATGGTCTTGGAAATTCAAACATATTTTATAGAAACCATAAACAAAAGTATGCTTTCTTTTAGCCAATCAATAGAGAATCACGTCTTCGTTATATTTTATATTTAAGGAAGGATTATAATTAGGTTTTAAAAAAGCTTTCTAATTGCCGAATAATTTGGCGCCTGATCATTCTTTGCATTAGCGCTTAGTGATTTCACTCTACAAAGTGCATTCGTTCCGCGTAAAGAATATTACATATTTTTCTATGTCATTAAAGAGATATCATACAGAGTTCATAAAATTTTGCAATGGATGCGAACCATGTTGTACATTTCATGAGGAGCAGTAGTAAACGGACAGATACGATGCTATGTGAATGGACATTTCGCGGTCGGAAAAAGTCTTATAATTAGAAACTTTTTAAAAAACCTAATTATACTCCTTCCTTAAATATAAAATATAAAGAAGACGTGATTCTCTATTGACTGACTCAAAGAAAGCATACTTTTGTTTATGGTTTCTCTAAAATATATTTGAATTTCCAAGACCGTCGAAACTCAATGGGAAAAATGCATGCTACTTAAGTAGTCCTTTTTTACCGAGCACGTTTTCTACAGGAGATCGAAAAGAAGTGCATTCAAAAGCCGACATCCTGCCGAGTCCGAAATGTTCTAGGAGTATGCCGCAAGATAATCAGTTTTACAACCGCGACCAAGTAATCCTTCCTTATCGAAAACGCATTCCAGAATTTCAGCCAACATTGCATGAGATAGGTCACGCACTGTACCCTACCCTCACCCTTTCATCATTCAGCCTAACCTGGTTTGCTGATTTGTCCCAAACCATACTTTTACTCACACTCCCTCGCCCATTTTTAGTTGTCATAGTTTAGAAATTTATTTGCCCATATTCGGTTTTACGAACCACCTTGGCAGGAGCCAGTGACCGCGCGAAGTAATTATAGCGCTAATTATGTACGCGGTCAACCAGGGCGGCCGCGGCATTGGTCACAGTAAAATATGGGTCCGACGCAGACCCGAAACCGGTCAACGAGGGCCGGGTAAAACGCTCTTTGTGGTTCTTAGGCCACATAACGTTGCCAACGTCGTAAAACCAGGCTGCAGCCACCACGGCCACAGTCTTGTCATTTATGAACTCCACAACCGAATACATCTACCAGGAAAATTATATCCTCAGATGAACAATGTAAACAAAAGTCACCCCGCACGCACAGTGTGCAGTAAGGGAATCAGAAAAAAACGACCGTCAATATCAAAGGGAACATATTTACAAATGATGTCTGAGAGGGCAGCAGTTGAAGGAATGTCTGACAAACGGGAGGCTTTAAACATTTACAAGGAGGATGATGGAAGGGATGTTGTAAAAAGATCCTCACAGTCAAGGAACGGGCGGTACGTTATGCTGGTAGCCGACACTGATGTCAGCAGGCACGGTCTATTTCCGATAAGTCCCACATTATGGATATAAAACAACAGAAAAAGAGGAACTTCATTTGAAACGCTCACTGTGAGATTAAAATTGTAATTAAGTTAATAAACCCACTTGCATAGCGTAAAATAGATTAGTAATTGCGTAAGTAAGACCATAAAGACGCGATAGACATGAAATCGACGTGGGAAAACGTACCACCTTGTCGCGAGCGTCCGGTTAAGCAGCAGAAAAATGGCGTCCATGTGGCCCACTTAAACAAAGCGTCCTAATCGACTTATCCAGGCAAATTCTCATCT